GCCGAAAAACTTAGAATGTTAAAATAATAATAATAAAAAAAATAATTAAAAAATCCTATGAATTCTGACTCTCTGGCTATTTTTTTCCCATATATAAGGGCGCGGCATTGTTCCACGAATGGCCAGAGGGATATTAGCCCTTTCCTGTACATAAAGGAAGCAGTCGCTTTGCTTGGGCAGAAATTGCTAGCTTTTGTTGGTGAATACTTCAATTGCTGAGTTTCTCTCTTTTGTTTAAATCTAACCCTCTTTTAAAATCTACTCCTTACCCTTCCCTTATTCAAATTCTAATTTTGCCAAAAGATGCAACATTTCAATAGTATAAAAGGTTTGCTGAGACATGAACTCCACACATGCACAGAGACTAGATCAGCAAAAAAAAAAAAAGGATAGGAAAAGAAATGAGAGAGAGAGAGAGAGAGAGGAAGGAGGGGGAACTGTGGGGGGGGAGGAGGTTTTTTTTAATGTAAAACTTGGAACCATTGAGAGAAATCACCCTTAATGTGTCCCAAGTTTGAAATCTTAACATGCCAAATTCTTTTCACAGGTAAATATCAAAGAATTCCACCCCTCAATGGGATTAAAATCACAGACTTTGTTTGTCTGCATTTTAGGAACAGCATTTCCTGACAGGCTTCTCACATGAAATAATTTTCCCTTTTAACAGGATATGTGAACCCCGATAACAAAGTGTTTGTCCCTTTTTTCCTCCCACAGCGACTTTCTTTCTATTCCGTGAAACAAGCGTGAATCTCTTTGTGGCTTTGACACTTTTAAAATTACAAATAATCTGTTTTCCATTTATTTAATCCGTTTTTCCATGATGTCTATGAAGTTAATCGAAGCACAACCAAACATTGTTTGTGGAATGGTATTTGTTTACCTTTTGCCTGAGCATTTCTTATTAATTCTATCATTTTGGCTAGTGCAAGGTACTTGCACAATTTTAAATTAAGTTTCCCCCCATTGTTTTCCCAATTTTTTCAGTCCAGTAGTAATCCGTGTGGTTTTGATAATATCTTTGTATTATTTAATAATAATTCTTTTCTAAGTCTGATGTCTTTGTGTCAAGTCTGGTTTCATCTGACTGGTAATCTAATTTTTTTTCTTCCCTTTTATTTTTTTTTACCTTTGTATTTTTACAGTTCTCTTTCTAGACTAACCGTGTTTTAAGTCCCCAAAACCCTGCCCCCTTACAGGATATCACTTATACAGATGTGCAATGATGAAAAGCGGCAACAACCCCTCCCTCAACTCGGTTCTTCGCGATCACAAGACCTGCACAACAGACGCCAGAGTGCTCACAGCTATCTCTTTCAAAGGATGTAGACTGACGGGGAGGAGTTGAATAGCGAGGACATTTTTTCACTTGAACCTCAAGCCTCGGTGCTCCAGGGATTCAAAAGATACATGCGTAAAAGATCACAATTATGTCAATATGCAAATGATATTTAATTAGTTGGTTTTGTGTATTATGTGTTATTATGTAGGAATGTTGAAGTGTGTCTGATTATGTGTTATCTCCACAAAAGAAAATTCCTGTGTAATGTAACATACATAACTATCAACAGCAGAAGGATATGGCTTACACCCCAAGTCTTCATGGAGGACTCCCATATATTACAATGCTTTCCCATATATTACAATGCTTTCCAATAGAGCAGACTATACTTAGATCAAGTCAACTGATGATCATATTTCCTTGTCCCACCTGGCACTCTGAAGAGTGCCAACCTTCCCTACCCATTTATTTATGCATTCAATGTTTTTCTATATATGAAGTTCCCAGATTTTACTATTTCTTTCTTTCTGTTCCAGAAAACTATTTCAAATCTTTTCTATGATTTCCCTGCATCTCTTGCAGACTCAGTACTGTCTTCAAGTAGCAATTGTTCTGCATTTATTTACTTATTAATCTTGGTTTTCATCTATAGCTGCGAAATTAATCTACCACAACCAAGTATTATTATCGGAACCATATTTTATCAGATAGATTTGAAGCAACACTCCTTATTATTATTTGAGATGTTTTGATTAGGATGCCAGATGAAATTGGGTGTAGATCATGTCCCAAATTTTATTTATTTATTTGAGGACACGACTACCATACGTAATATTATTATTGATAACAAGAAACGTGTATATGCCTTGATGTAGCAAGAATGGTCCCTTATAGAGTTAAATTGACTCATTTGGACAAATGCCCCCTTAAAGAATGGCTTTGGTTTTAACATATTGGTTTTGAAAAGTTGAGAACCATGGGGCAAGATAAATTCAAATTGGACTCTACTGGAATTGGGCACGTGTATCCAGGCTGCAACTAGCTTTTGGTCCTTTAAGAGCAAGTGGACAACTTTCCATGAGTGCGAGACCAGAGCCTGCAATAATGAAAAATCCCATAGCTAAAGGCCAAGGCGAAGACCTCTCCCTCACGAGAGGTCTGCACCTGTGCCAGCTATGGTGAATGCCAGGCGACATGGTAAATTGAAAGCCCTGAGGGGATTCAACAGGATGTGTTACTGTACCACTATGCCGGTGTGAGACCACAGAAGAGCTAGCTTGGCACCTGAAAACACAAAAACGGTGGGGCTAAAAAAAAGCAAACTGAATTTTTTTTCCAGTCAGTAGTAGACCTTCCTGCTAAATGTAAAGCATACACCACTATTGAAAATGTTTCTCCCAAGAGCTAGGGTGCCACAAGTAATTTAGTAACAAAATACAACAGATGTTCTTTTATATAATACCCTATATCCAGCTATCTGCACTGCTATACTTGCAAATGACCGTAAGAGGCATGGTCCCTTTCAGGTTTGCATAAACCCACACATCTGGTACGGTAGATACCAAGTTATTATTTAGCGCATATATATAACACGCGTGTACATTGTATTCGTCCGTGTTGCTCCCTCTTTTGCTGCCCTGCTCAACCCACCTCCTTTCCATTAGAGCGTATTCCCACTCACAGGGAACGCCTACATTCACCGAGATTTAGGGTGCGGAGAAAAGATTTGCAAGTTCTTACAGAACTTTAATGCAAATCTATCTCCGAATGGGGGACTGATACGGAACGGGGGGGGGCATGTCTTCACCTTCTTCTTCGCTACAATATATCTATTTATTTCCATCTGCCAAGCCCTTCCTCCGGGCGATGCCAGGTGACAGACTATGCGTACATGGACCATTGTCTTCTCAGGATGTGCTTATCTGCGCATATCTCCAGCTCTGTATATTCCCCCCTCCCTCCTCCATATGTTAATCCAGTGTAACCCAACCTCTCCTTAATGTATTCATGATGCAATCTGTGTAACCCAACCTTTCCTTAATGTATTCATGATGTAACTGGGATGTATTTTGCACTGTATTCTGGGACATGGAGGGAGTTTCAAAAGTTCATGTCACCCCTTTTTCGCTGTTCAATCTCGCCTTGAACCTGTTGCGCAATAAACTTGGATCTTCTGCAGTTTGCTCCTGCGTCCGGCTGAGCTCATTTTCTTCCGCAGGGACCCACGGACTTAGTCCGATGAGCTGGGTGGCAGAGTAACACCGCACCCAGATTTTTCCGTAACACTACGAAGAAGTAAACCCTGCTGAGTCAATGGGGCTTATTCCCTGCGTTGTGTGGCAACCCCACACTTCGCTGCTGTCTCCAGCTAGGAATATGAACAATCACCAGCCTGAAAAGACCTGGAGAGTGTCAGGATCTCAGCCTACACTCAAGTAGGACCCTAGGAGAGACACATGCCCGACTGGCATGTTCTCTCCCTTCCATAGCTGTCAACGTTTCCCTTTTTTAAAGGGAAATTCCCTTATTCCGAATAGGATTCCTTGCAAGAAAAGGGAAAAGTTGACAGCTATGCTCCCTCCTGATCGTTCATTTGGGAGCTTCAAAAGCTTTCTTCAGTCCGAACATCACAGCGACCGATGCCAACAGACACCGGTACACTTAGGGATCCACAGAGTTTGCACACCTTGCGTGACAGACCTCAGCAACTCAGCATTTTGGCTAATCTACTTTATTTACATACACACAGAGCACTGCAACATGGCTCCCTCTCTCTCTAGCATCAAACATCCTGTCTCCGTCACTTCCCACTGGAGTGGAGTCATAACATATACAGTGGTACCTTGGGTTACAGACGCTTCAGGTTGCATACGCTTCAGGTTACAGACTCTGCTAACCCAGAAATAGTACCTCGGGTTAAGAACTTTGCTTCAGGATGAGAACAGAAATCGTGCTCTGGCGGCGCAGCGGCAGCAGGAGGCCCCATTAGCTAAAGTGGCGCTTCAGGTTAAGAACAGTTTCAGGTTAAGAACGGACCTCCAGAACGAATTAAGTTCTTAACCCGAGGTACCACTGTACTGTCATGTGATAGACAACAATCCCATGACTGCAATCACGGAGCAGGAATTCTAAAAGTGAGATGTTGCCAGACAGTGTAGCCAAATGGGCGTATGGTCCGACTCGATGTAAAGGCAGCTGGAGTTGGATGCAGCCTCTAATCCAGTGTTTCCCAACCTTGTGCCTCCAGCTGTTTTTGGCCTACAATTCCCATCATCCCTTGCCACTGGTCTTGCTAGTCAGGGATGATGGGAGTTGTAGGCCAAAAACATCTGGAGGCACAAGGTTGGGAAACACTGCTCTAATCTAGAGGAAATCACAGGGTCTGAATTAAGCCAAATTATAGAGTTGGAAGGGACCCCAACGGTCATCTAGCCCAACCCCCTGCAGGAATCTTTTGCCCATGTGGGGCTTGAACCCAGAACCCTGAGATTAAGAGTCTCCTCCTCTACCGGCTGAGCTCTCCCTTTCAGTGCAATTTGAGTTGGATATGCTGTCCAACGTGTCTCAGGTCAATTCCTGGCTAAGTGATTTGAGGATCGGGACCTAAGGCAGCATCTGTTAGGGGTTGGAGGGGCAGCTGAGTCAGGGTCTATTTAAAGGGTGGGGTGGGGTGTGCTGCTTAATTGAATCAGAGTTTGTCCCCGTTGCTTTCCATGCAATGGAGCAGAAGGAACCAAGGGGTCCGGCACAGGTAGGTCTACCTGCATCAAACTGAGTGTTCCAGTAAGGAAGGGAAATTGTTCAGCTCTTAAAACTTTCTGAATTCATCGGTTTTTGGCTTCCAGGGGGAAGGCTTGGAGCAGCAGGGAGTGGGGGGAAGTTCCTCCATTTATTTAGCATTTATTTTAATTTATACTTGCATTTATTTCATATGGCTTTGGGGTTTTTTTTGGGGGGGAGGCTTTTTTGACTTTTCTTTCAAAGACCTCCTTGGGAGAAGCCATTCTGCAAGCCATTCTGCAAGCCATTCGCCTCTTTCTCCTTAGAAATAAGATGGCTCAGTCAGTGGAGCACGAGACTCTTAATCTCAAGGCACTGGGTTTAAGCCCCAAGTTGGGCAAAATATGGCACTCGCTGACCCTCGGGGTCCCTTCCAACTTTATGCCTGTTTTTCTGTGGTTCCTGTAAATTGCTTGAATCGTGCGTTTTGCATTGGCTTCCTCAACCTCAGCCCTCCAGGTGCTTTTGGCCGACAACTCCCATGATCCCTAGCTAGCAGGACCAGTGGTCAGGGATGATGGGAATTGTAGTCTCAAAACATCTGGAGGGCCAAGGTGGAGGAAGCCTGCATTATTGCATCCTTGCAGCAAACCTGGGAGGTAATCTGTTACTATTCTCACCTGTGCACCTGAGAAAAGCTCAGTGTGAGGATATAGTGAGGAAGCGTATATCCCAGCCCAACAACCCTGTGAGGAAGGCGAGGCAGAGAGAGAAAAAGAGAGCGAGAGGCCATGACTGACCCAAGGTCACCCAGTGAGCTTTGTGGCAGAGTGGATTTGAACCCAGCTCCCAGTCTGACACACGAACAGTGAACCTTTGTGTTTTGATCTAGTTTTTTGTAATCTAAATTAATGGTTCTTATTAGCCTGAGTAGCACCGAGTTAGAAACAAAAGGGGAATGTAAATGGGTAAAATTGATGGTAATTGCAGCCAGACGGGTTATAGCGAGTAAGTGGAAAAATGCAGAAGAGCTAGGGGTGAACCAATGGAGGAAGAAATTGAAAAATATTAAAATTTAACTGTGAAGATACACAAAATGAAAGGGTTTAAGGTCAGTGAGAAGGAGGAGGATTGGTCTGAGAAGATATTGAATTATTTGGGTAGGTTTGAACAATTTGGGGCAATTAAAATGTTAAAAGTTAAATAAACCTTGTGGGGGGAGGAGTGTTAATGTATATAGAATTGTACATATGGTTGATTTGAATATGTTGTTATTGATTATGTATACCCAATGTACCAGCCGCCTGGGAGGTTTCATTGTGTTTTGGTTGTTGGTTAAAAATAAAATAAAAATAGTTTTTAAAAAAAAAATAGTTTTTTGTTGGCAGAGCACTACTTGGGTACAGCAACCAGGAGTTATACAGCAGGTTACTTCAAAGGGTTTTATTTTGGAGGGACTGAAGTCCTGTGGCCGATATCTGCGCATGCTAACCTGCATGTCTCTATGGGGAAATTTTCATTTCCAACACCCTCTTTCCCCCGTCCTGTTTCCCTGGAAGCAAAGTTTCCTGGAAGCAAGGGCTCAGGGCTTAGCCTTAGAGACTTCAACAACACACCTGTGAGGTGCAAAAGAAGCTTTCTTCTTCTTTTTTTAATAGTTGTGTATTCACTGATGCAACAAGGACTGGTGCAGGAGCTGCTGCTGATGATGATTAAAATTTGTATACCACCACCCTATACCTGCAGGTCTCAGGGCGCTTCACAGGATAAAAACACAATATAAAAACACAAAATACATAAGACGAAAACAACCCAATAATCCTCCCCAACACATTTCGAAAGGGCATTGGGTTTCTTGCATTGGGTTTCTTAATATCTCGTGGGACAATATGCGCTCCCCCTCCCACCTACTAACTTGGCAAATTGGGCTCTCTTCCTACAGACTTCCGTGCCACGGACATTCTGGTTTGTAAGAAGCCCTTGTCGTCTGCTGGCGTATCTGGTAAGTCACAGTCGGGGTGGGTTTGTGGATTGGGCCTTTTTAGGGTGTCGGGGTGCTTGCCAGTCTCCCCGAATCTGGCCCCTGGGGGTGGCGAGGAACCCAGCAGCAGGGAAGGGCTTCTTGTGGGCTTCCTGGCTGTCCCCTGTTGGAGGCAGGATGCTAGGCTAGAAGATGAAAAACTATTGAGATGCTCATAATATTACTTTGCAGGGTTTGAGGCGGTTAGGAATTCGTCAAATTGGGACAGAATAAAAGAGAGCATATTTTAGGAATTGTGAATTGGCAGAATGAATTGGAGAGGGGCGGAAAGGGAACTTTTTCACTCGTTCTCTTGCCACACCAGGACATGGCAAGTTGTTTTTCACAGTCTCGACATCTTCGGTTTGCCAGCCCTAGATGACAAGCTTTTCCAGGAGGCGGGGGCCACTTTAGCTTCTGGGGTGCTAGTAGACTGCCTGACATAAGTTGGAGAGGAGGCCTTGAAATAGTCCTCTAAGCTTGCTTAGGGAACAGAACCTGCCTAGTCAGGGGCAGTCTACCTGCTGAATGTGAAGGGGGACGCGAAGGACTTTTCTGTGGGCTTCCCAGAGGCATCCCAAAGGTGGCTTGATAGATCTGAAATATATCCCTTTAAGCTTGAATTTTTTATTCTGGGTTGTCTTATTTGATGTTTTAATGTGTTGTAAACACTGTGGGTTAAACCAGAGCCCAGGACTTGCCGATTAGAAGATCGGTGGTTCGAATCCCCGCAACGGGGTGAGCTCCCGTTGCTCAGTCCCTGCTCCTGTCCACCTAGCAGTTCGAAAGCACGTCAAAGTGCAAGTAGATAAATAGGTACCGCTCCGGTGGGAAGGTAAATGGCATTTCCATGCGCTGCTCTGATTTGCCATAAGCAGCTTAGTCATGCTGGCCACATGACCCGGAAGCTGTACGCCGGCTCCCTCGGCCAATAAAGTGAGATGAGCGCCGCAACCCCAGAGTCGGTCACGACTGGACCTAATGGTCAGGGGTCCATTTACCTTTACCTTTAAACTGCTTTGAGATTTGTTCTTTAAAATGTAAAGTGGTATAGAAATGGAAATAATAACACGCAGCACTGGTGAAACCTCAACAGCCAAATCTCCCAGTGTTTATTCCTTTCACCTCTTGGGATCCGCTGCTGAGGTTCAGATTTATGTTTTATTTTCGCTATATATCCCATTCTACATGTCTGTGTCGGCTACGAAAGGCTGTGACTGGTGTACGTCTCTAAATCGCTTTCCTTTGCTCTTGGCTGCTCAGTTCCAGTTCCTTCGCAAGTTCTTCCCCTGGGCTCGCCTCGCCATCCCTGTGCGGACCCCCACGGCCAAAGGATCCCTGGCACAGTCTCCGGACCGACCCGTGCGCCGCCCCAAGAAGCGGCTGGGAACCGTAGCGCACGTCATCCTTGCCTTTGCCCCTCTGAGGTTCCAGCGTGCTTTCGGATATCTGACCGTCATGGAACGGGATTTGGTCCCCAAAGGTGAGACCCTGGGGCAGGGGCAAAGCAAAGGGGCAGGTGTCGCTACGTAGGGCGCATATTTACGGGATCGCCTCTCCTGGTCTGCCCGGCAGAGGACCTTAAGGTTCATGAACAACCATGGTTTAGAGGTCCCGGGCCCTAAGGAAGTCAGACTATCCTCCACCAGGGCCAGGGCCTTTTCAGTGATGGCTCCCACCTGGTGGAATGCTCTGTCCCATGAGACCAGGGCCCTGCAGGATTTAACCTCCTTCCGCCGGGCCTGTAAGACAGAGCTATTCCGCCTGGCCTTTAATTTGAATTCAGCCTGATCTTTTATTTCCCTTCCCTTCCCCTGTTATGAAGATCACCCGCTCTGAGACCCCACAGCTAATTCCCCCCTGGTCTCCTCGCTGGCCCAAATAGGACTAATTTAGCCAGCTAGCCCTGGTGCTCATCTAATCTAACTCTGGAGCAGCAGAAAACAACCTTTCTCCCTCCTCTAGGTGACATCCTTTTATATATTTGAACATGGCTATCATATCACCCCTTAACCTCCTCTTCTCCAGGCTAAACATGCCCAGCTCCCTTAGCCGTTCCTCATAAGGCATCGTTTCCAGGCCTTGGACCATTTTGGTTGCCCTCCTCTGGACACGTTCCAGTTTGTCAGTGTCCTTCTTGAACTGTGGTGCCCAGAACTGGACACAGTACTCCAGGTGAGGTCTGACCAGAGCAGAATACAGTGGCACTATTACTTTGAACCCTGGTCTACCAGGGCCAGAACTCAAACCAGGGCACCACCCCCAGCTCACGCCTGTTTTTCTGGATCTCCTCTTACTGTTCAGAATCATAGAGTTGAAAGGGACCCTGTGGAATACCTGGTGGTCCGACCCCCTGCAATGCAGGAAGAGGCAGCTGCCCCACCTGGGGATCGAACCTGCAACCTTGGCAAGACCTCTGCAGGTTGTTTTGTTTTTGCCTGTTTTTAATCTTGCTGCTCCTCCTGCAGAGACATTGGACGCCCCCGTCCACCCATCGGGCAAAGGGAACAAAAGGAAAAAGGACGATGTTACTCTAGAGGAGGAACTCTGCTGGGCTGAGCTTCTCCAGAAAGAATTACCGGATGAAGATGATACCGAGGACCCGACTTATGAGGTGACTCTGAGACTTGGGAGCACATTGTTAACGCAAGCAAGTTGTTTCCCCACAACCGCTTGACACAGCCATCGAAACGTCGGACCTTGACTTATTTTGGATTTCATCCGGATCTCCCCTTACCACAGATAAATCCCATAAGTTGCTCCTTGCTTAATTTTTCCTTTAAGACATATAATTATAGAATTGTAGAGTTTGGAAGGGAGCCCCAGGGGTCATCTAGTCCAACCCCCTGCAATGCATTTCTTTCCGATAATAATAATTTATTATTTGTACCCCACCCATCTGGCTGGGTTTCTGGGCACCTTCCAACAGAGTATTAAAATATAGTGGTCTGTTAAACATTAAAAGCTTCCCTGAGCAGGGCTGTCTTCAGATGTCTTCTAAATGTCAGGTAGTCGTTTGTCTCTTTGACATCTGGTGGGAGGGCGTTCCACAGGGCAGGTGCCACCACCAAGAAAGCCCTCTGCTGCCTGCTTCCCTGTAACCTGGCTTCTCATAGCGAGGAAACTGCCAGAAGTCCCTTGGAGCTGGACCTCAGCGTCCGGGCAGAATGATGGGGGTGGAGATGCTCCTTCAGGTATACTGGACCGAGGCCGTTTAGGGCTTTAAAGGTCAACACCAACACTTTGAATTGTGCTTGGAAACGTACTGGGAGCCAATGTAGATCTTTCAAGACCGGTGTTATGTGGTCTTGGCGGCCGCTCCCAGTCACCAGTCTAGCTGCCGCATTCTGGATTAGTTGTAGTTTCTGCGTCCTTCAAAGGTAGCCCCACGTAGAGTTCATCGCAGTAGTCCAAGTGGGAGATAACCAGGGCATGCACCACACTGGTGAGACAGTCTGCAAGCAGGGAGGGTCTCATCCTGCGTACCAGATGGAGCTGGTTGACAGCTGCCCTGGACACAGAATTGACCTGCGCCTCCATGGACAGCTGTGAGTCCAAAATGACTCCCAGGCTGCGCATCTGGTCCTTCAGGGGCACAGTTACCCCATTCAGGACCAGGGAATCCTCCACACCTGCCCGCCTCCTGTCCCCCCAAAACAGTACTTCTGTCTTGTCAGGATTCAACCTCAATCTGTTAGCCGCCATCCATCCTCCAACCGCCTCCAGACACTCACACAGGACCTTCACCACCTTCACTGGTTCTGATTTAAAGGAGAGGTAGAGCTGGGTGTCATCTGCATACTGATGGACACCCAGCCCAAACCTCCTGATGATCTCTCCCAGCAGCTGCATGTAGATGTTAAAAAGCATCCAATCATTACTTAAGGCCATGCTTACACCATATGAATCCTGATTGGCGCGGTTTGAGTGTGTGGTTCTGTTTCCGGTTCGATACCCGTGAGGGACAGCTGCATAATTCCTGCGTAATGGAGTTGGACTAGATGATTCCAACCCCTTGATTTTACAAATTCTTTGAGTTCTGTGATACCATTTAAAACAGCTGAGGTTCCCCCTCACAAAGAATTGTGGGAGTTGTAGTTTAAGGGTGTTGAGAGTTAAGAGGATCCCATTCCCCTCAGAGCTACAATTCAATTCAAATTTTAATTTGCATACTGTCTTTCTGTATTACTATACACAAGTAGTTTACAAGCTGAAGAAACAACAAAGATCGCACACGCGAAACAAAACAAAAGTCGTAATAAAAACATAACTTTAAAATAAACAACTTAATTCAAATAAAGCAACACTCCATCATCGTGTAATGGTACACAATGAAGTTAAATATCAGCAAACAATAATTAAATGGAAATTCACTCTTAACAATTACAAAAAACACACACACTAAATTGTTAAAATTAAAAACTAAATGAGGAACAATAAAAAAACCGCAGGCCCCAATGCCTAAACTCCCACCACGCATACAAAACGTTGTAAAAGGGTCAAACAGAGAAACAAATCTATAAAATTATTGTTTTTTAAATGGGACTTAAAATGGGCCTACAGGTCCCAGAGTTTGGCGCGAAGAGTGATGGATTGATTGACTGAACAGCCATTGATCAGCCCCTTCTCTGTCTCCTTCCCAGTTTACCGTCTCTGAGACGGACAGCGAAGAATACAAATCTCAGAACGACACCGATGTCAATTTGGAGGTGGAGGAGAAAGATGGATTCTTGATGCTGAAGGAAGACCCAGCTCAGCAGGTTACGAAAGATGATTTGCCCCGGAGGAGGCAGTGAGGGGGAAACAAAGGGCCCTCTTCACGTCCTCAGAGGTGCTCTTGACATCTTGCCAATGCTGAAAGAGGACATGTTTCTTCTTACTGGCTTAGACTTAAAGATGGGTGGGGGCCGCATTCTGCTTTTCTGGATGAGCCAAGGAGGCTGTCACACAGCACAGCGTTAACATGTGGAACTCACTGCCTCAAGATGTCCTGCTAAGTTTGCTTAAGGCTTAATTCCAATACATAACAGATTTTTTTGTTTGTTTTCCTGGCTTCCCACTCCATTTTCCACTGTGTTTTTAAATTTCTCCCCCTTGCTGCACCCTGTCTTCTCTCTCTCTCTCCTATCTTAACCATCATACAATGATCTCTAATTCCTTCTGTTGCTCGGAGTTCGAATCCTGCTTGCAGAGCGCAGCTTCCTTCACAGTCCACCTTCTCTCTCTCTTTCGCTGTGTTTGTAGGAGGACCCAAAGAAGGAATTTGGGGCTGGGGAGGAGGCCCTGGACCCCCGCTGCTCCGGGGACGGGAGTGAGCAGCCAGACGAGGAGGTGCCTGACGATGGCGGGGACAACCCGGGTGCGAATCCCACCAGCCCTGCTCCACCGGAGAGCACACTGCTCCTGCCGTCCCGCGACCCCAGTGCTGAGATGACCTCCAGTGACAACTCCCAGGACCAATGGGTGAATGTGAGCGGCGGTAAGCGTCACAGAATCATAGGGTTGCAGAGAGGGAAGGGACCCTCAAGGGTCATCTAGTCCAACCCGCTGCTGTGCAGGAATGGCGGCTAACAGAGGGCCACCCAACCTCTGTTTAGAAACCTCCAATCAAGGGGAGGCTCCACTGTCAGACAGCTCTTACCCCTGTGTTGCAATACAGAATAATCTGCTCAAATGCAGCCGCAACACATGGCTAATAAGTATGGCAAATGTACGGGTGAAACTTGAAAAATTAGAATATCGTGGAAAAGTTCATTTATTTCAGTAATTCAACTTCCCCATGATTGTGCTTCCTACTGAACCAGACTGAGAGACCATTTAAAGGCTCAGGAACCCATTGCAGGTGTTACGGATTGAATAGCTACTGCACCTTTTCACAATATGCTAATTTTCTGAGATTGTTAATTTGGGGTTTTCATCAGCTGTACGCCATGATCATCACAATTATAACAAGTAAAGGCTTGACATATCTCGCTTTGAATGTCATGAGTCTATCTCAGATATTAGTTTCACCTTTTAAGTTGAATTACTGAAATAAATGAACTTTTCCATGATATTCTAATTTTTCGAGTTTCACCTATATTAGTAGTAGTTAGAATATAATCCAAAATTTACAAATCATAAGCGTCATCTATAATGTATAAGTCCATAAACAAGAAATAGTCAACGTAATAAATTGCTGTCAGGGAACACCACGACGCAGGCAGAATTATTTCTTGTTTATGGACTTATACATACATTATAGATGTTTATGGTTTGTAAATTTTGGATTATATTCTAACTACTACTAATAATAATAATACATTTGCCATACTTATTTGCCATGTCTTATGGTTGTATTTGAGCGGACAGCTCTTAAGATCAGAAAGCTCTTATTTATTTGAGGGCATAGTGCATCACTAGAACAGCTGCCAAATCCAATTCCATAACTCTGCATCTGTTTGGATAATACTAGATATTTTCCAAATAGTTATTTCTAACACAGTTGCATAACTGTTGTTTTTTCACCTGCTGCGTTTTGTATAAATGAGGTCCAACTTCCGTTAGACTTGTCTGCGTCTATCAGCAATCCGCTTAGAGGCGGCAAGTTCAGTCAGGATTTCAGGCCATTGAATCAATGGAGTGAAATAAATGCATTTGTCGTTCCAACGCAGCAAGGTAAGCAATATTTTTTTTATTTATACCCCGCCCTTCCCGATTCAGAAAACCGGGCTCAGGGCAGCTAACAACAAATTTAAAACACTTAATTGATGCAACAAAAAAACAGCATAAAATACAGTATAAAATGTGAATAACAATAAATTCAGGATTCAAAAATTAATTTAGGGGGGAAATCCATCCAATAAACATTAGATGATCACCAGGGCTAGCTGGCTAAATGAGTCCTATTTGGGCCAGCGAGGAGACCAGGGGGGAATTAGCTGTGGGGTCTCAGAGCGGGTAATCTTCATAAAAAGGGGAGAGGGAAGGAAGGAAGGGGAATAAAAGATCAGGCTAAGTTCAAATTGAAGGCCAGGCGGAATAGCTCTGTCTTACAGGCCCTGTGGAAGGAAGTTAAATCCCGCAGGGCCCTGGTCTCCTGGGACAGAGCATTCCACCAGGTCGGAGCCACCACTGAGAAGGCCCTGGCTCTGGTGGAGGATAGTCTGACTTCCTTAGGGCCTGTGACCTCTAAACCATGGTTATTCATGGACCTTAAGGTCCTCTGCCAGGCAGACCAGGAGAGGCGGTCCCTTAAATACGAGTAAGGCCTTGGAGAATCCATTCACTTAGTCAGAAAGTTTAGTTGGAATTTCCTTTCTAGGGGGCTCCTGCAGAGGTCCTGATCCAACATTCTGTCTAGGAATTTCCATGATTTGCAAGTTGTTTTTAAAATACTTTTTCATTGTTGTAGCCTGTCCTGGAACCTTAGGGCAAAGGGCCTGCATTTATATAGCAACTAATAATAATAATACTTACTAGGTCTTGCAGCTGCTACTATTCTTATTAGTAAGGATATTTAATAATAAAAATGGGTTATGCTAGGGACTCAATGAACTCGACAGGCTGAGTCTCCGGGAAGCAAAGAATCCGCAAATGAAATTGTGGTGGTCCAGGCGCTCCCTCTGGTGGCAGAACAGCAATACTACAACCTGCTGACCTGGAGGGGATCTTGTACATTTTCTTAGGTGGGGGGGGGGGAGAGAGGTCGCATTCTGGAGGAATGTCATGGGTGCACAACAGGGGCGCCATTTATTTGACCAAATTTATACCCCACTGCATTGCAAGAGAACCTTCCGAGCTGTTTGCAGGAACAAAATAATTAGGGGTTTTTAAAAGTTATAAGAACAGGTATTTAAAATATTCCAAAGGTTGACTTTTCAACTTTGCCCTTAAAAAAAGAAAAGGGAAAGCAGCTGTTTTGGACTACAACTCCCATCATCCCTTTCTAGCAGGACCCAGTGGTGGGGATGATGGGAACTGTAGTCCAAAAACATCTGGAGACTCAAGTTTGGGAAACCCTGATCTAGAAAGTTGGCGCATCAGAAGTTTGTGTGTGATATCACCGTCATCACGATCCCCTCCCTGTCCCCCCCAAAAAAAAACCTGTAAAGACATGATGCTGGGCAAGATGGGCCCCCTCTGAGTTGGATCCTGCAGCCAGGCTCCTCTTGGTTCCTTATGACCCCTCTATGGAACCTCCATGGACAAAGCTAGTCTACCTTAGGATGGAGAACAAGAGTGGGAGGGGCTACTGCTCTCCACATCCTGCTTGTGGGGTCTTCCCCGTTTGGGACATCTGATTGGCTACTGGAAAAAAATAGGGGGGATGAGAAAAAATGAAGAGAAAATGAGAATTAAAAAGGATTTTTAAAGAGGAAAGAAGAGTCAAAAAGCATAAAAAGAAATTGAATCAGGTTTGTTACATCCCTCTCATCTTAACAATGAAAACTACAAATCACTCATAAAAATATAAAAAATGTAGAAGGTGCCAGTCCTCATGGTTCTGGCTGATTTCAATAGGAAACCTCGGAAGCTGCCTTTATACAGAGCTGGTCCATTGATCTATCTAGCTACCGTATTTTTGCGTGTATAACATGCCCCCGTGTATAAGACGACCCCTATTTTTTGGGACTCCAAATTTAGGAAATGGGGGGAGATTGGCCAGAGTTGTTGAGCTTTTTGGGGGGAGGGTTGCCGATAATCGCTCACCCGCCTGACCGCCGCTGACAATCACACGCCTCAACAAAGCCACTCATCGTCTGCCCACTCGCCAGCAGCAGCCGCCAATCACCCGCCCAATCACCAATTACAATCTCCTGCTCACGACAGCTGCCAATCACACGTCCCCCCTGCACTATCCGTGTATAAGACGACCCCCAATTTTTAACAGTAATTTATAATAAAAAAAACCTCGTCTTATAAACAGAAAAATACGGTAAGTGTTGTCAACACTGACTGGCAGACTCTCTTTGGGGGGGGGGTTCTGGCGGGGGATATTTCCTTCCCTTCTGCAGATGCCAGGGGTTGAACTTTTGGCTCGTTTAACAATCCATGACCTTTTTAACTGGGGAGGGGGGTGTTCGTACGGTTTCATTTATTACTACATTATGTATTTTTTTGTGGTTTATGTTGTAAAACACCCATGTGATCTTTGGAAGAAAGGAGGCATATAAATTTAATTCTGCGTGCCCTATCGCTGAGCAACCGAAACGCCTTTTAAAAATTTGGAATACTGCAAATTGTTTTCCTTGGGTGTGTGCAGTGCTCACTGCTGATTAATTTCCCCCCTGGATTGACAACTAATTCCACACACACAGACACACACACACACACACACCCCGGAATTGAGAATTTACTTATGTTCCCCTTCCCTAGAATAACAGCAACTGTCTCCTCTCCTGGCTGAGATTGGCACTGCAACATAGCGAGGTGAAACTTTCCAACGGTCTGCCGCCTTCTAGCAAGCGGATGCCCTCTTTTTGATACGGAAACGTCTTCTCTCTTTTTGGAATTTGCAATAAAGCCTTATTTTTTCACACTGAAGTGTTTGACGGCTCCTGTCTGACCAACTCTGGCTTTCTGTAGGAATAATAATAATAATAATAATAATAATAATAATAATAATTAATTTGTTATTTGTAGCCCGCTCATCTGGCTGGGTTTCCCCAGCCACTCTGGGCGGCTTCCAACAAGGATTAAAAATACATAAAAATGTCACACATTAAAAACTTCCCTAATCAAGGCTGCCTTCAGATGTCTTCTAAATGTCAGGTAGTTGTTTATCTCTTTGACATCTGGTGGGAGGGCGTTCCACAGGGTGGGTGCCACCACCCACCCTGCAGGTTCCCTGTAACCTCACTTCTTGCAGTTAGGGAACCGCTAGAAGACCCTCGGTGCTGGACCTCAGTGTCTGGGCAGAACGATGGCGGTGGAGACGCTCCTTCAGGTCTACTGGGCCAAGGCCGTTTAGGGCTTTAAAGGTCAACACCAGCACTTTGAATTGTGCTCGGAAACGTACTGGGAGCCAATGTAGGTCTTTCAAGACCGGTGTTATGTGGTCTCGGCGGCCGCCCCCAGTCACCAGTTTAGCTGCCGCATTCTGGATTAGTTGTAGTTTCTGAATCACCTTCAAAGGTAGCCCCACATAGAGCGCATGGCAGTAGTCCAAGCAAGAGATAACCAAAGCATGCACCACTCTGGCGAGACAGTCTGTGGGCAGGGAGGGTCTCATCTGCGTACCAGATGGAGCTGGGAGACAGCCGCCCTGGATACAGAATTGACCTGCACCTCCATGGACAGCTGTGAGTCCAAAATTACTCCCAGGCTGCGCATCTGGTCCTTCAGGGGCACAGTGACCCCATTCAGGACCAGGGAATCCCCCACACCAACCCGCTCCCTGTCCCCCTAAAACAGTACTTCTGTCTTGTCAGGATTCAGCCTCAATCTGTTGACTGCCATCCATCCTCCAACCACCTCCAGACACTCACACAGGACCTTCACCGCCTTCACTGGTTCTGATTTGAAAGAGAGGTAGAGCTGGGTGTCATCTGCATACTGATGGACACCCAGCCCAAACCCCCTGATGATCTCTCCCAGCGGTTGCATGTAGATGTTAAAAAGCATGGGGGAGAGGGCAGAACCCTGAGGCACCCCACAAGTGAGGGCCCAGGGGTCTGAACACTCATCCCCCCACCACCACTTTCTGGAACAGAGGAAGATGCCTTCTACAGAGTTCAATACTGTCTACACTGGCTGGCAGCAGCACTCCAGCCTTTCAGGGAGGGGCTCTCCCATCCCTGCCTGGACATGCCGTTGGGCATCCAACACAGGACCTTCTCAGGGGCTTCTCCACGCTTACCTGTCCTCCATGCTTTCAAGGCCTGGGCAGAACCAGGATTTTATTTTGGTCTCACCTGTTCCTCATCCCCTGTCTGGCTCCGTCTAGCAGATTTTAGCAGTTGTTTTAACTTACCAGTGCTCGCAAGACCCTGACGAAGGGTTTTTGTTTTGAGTCTTGCAGCGATTTCCTATGGGTTTCTAGCGGACGTTTTGCATTTGTTGTTCTTAACGTTTACACTGGACTGACTTCGAGGGCAACTCATAGCACTCGGTGTGGTAGCCTTTTTTGAGGTTTCTAAAGACTTTGGTGATTTTTGAAGCTTTTCCAAAACTTTCCCGACACTGTGCTTCGCAAGACGAAAAAAAATCGCAAGACGACAAAACTCGCGGAACAAATTAATTTCGTCTTGCGAGGCACCACTGTACTTTCTTTTGAATCCAAGTACAGTAGTACCTTGGTTCTCGAATTTAATCTGTTCTGGGAGTCTGTCCAACTCCCAAAACCATTCAAAAACCAAGGCGCGACTTCTGATTGGCTGCAGGAACTTCCAACACATATATAAACATTAAAACATTACATGTTTTTAAAAAAACCACTTCCCTATACAGGACTGCTTTCAGATGTCTTCTATAGGTTATATAGTTACTTGACATCTCCTTTTAAAGTCAACTTACAGATTTGAAAATAAGGGACCAGCAGCCTCGGAAATAAGGGATCAGCAGCCAAAATAAGGGATTTTCCTAGCACAGGTATGTTCAACTGAGCCCGAGCCTCGGTCCCTGCTCCTGCCAACCTAGCAGTTCCAACAGCACGCAAAGTGATAGTAATAAACCAGGTTACCACTCCGGCGGAAGGTACAACGGCATCCCTGCCGGGCGATTTGATGGCACCTGCAAGCTCCACCCCAGAGTGTTCAGTCCTTGGGGTGAGCAACCGACCAGGCAACACAGTTGTACGAGGCTCCTGTCTGGCAGGGAGAAGCGAGAGGAGCCGTTCCTTTGCAACCCAGAAAGTTCAGAGGGACTGACCTAAGGAACAGCAGGGACAATCGCCTGGGATAAGGAACTTCTTTCCCCGCCAAATAAGGGGAATTAAGCAAGATCACTTGCCTTTCCGAGTGGCAGGGATTCCAATATTTCTTTGTTGCCCCTCAGAATTATCCTAAGAAACGAGTTACTTTGTGTGTGTGTGTTTTCACTCCCCTTCAAAACATGACCAGCTACATGCCCCCTTTCAATTGCGGCGGTGGTGGGAAAGTGACGTCGGGACGGTGCGTGACTAACGCACGCCCGCCCCCGATGCGACGTCACAGCCGTACAGCCCGCCACATGGGAGTGTCGGGCGACATGCCTCCTCCCCTCGCTAGTATCTGCCCCGAGCTGCGGCAAAGGTGTAAAAGAGCCACATGCGCTCCGGGGCCGCGGGTTGCAGACCCTGCCTAGTGTTATGAGAGAGTCTTCTCGCCCTCCACTTTCTCCAACCCAGGCATAATTTTTATAAACTCTGATTGTGTCGCCTCTTCGTCTCCTCCTCTCTAAACTAAAAAAACCTGCACCCTTTCCCCATAGGGGAGCCTCTCCACACCCTTGGTCATTTTGGGCTGCCCTGTTCTGAACCTTTTCCCTGTGGAAGGAGAATAATAATATAAATAAATAAGGAATGGGTCTCCTAGATGGGCTCCCTTTGACTTCATCCTGCACCCGGACTTTTCTCAGCTTCTGCAACGTTCTGGCCTGTTCGGGATTTTTAAAGTGATGTTTTCATATGATGGGGAAGGAATGGACCTGACAGCTGCTGCAGGAACTATTTATTGCTAGTTGGTGGGTGGAAAGGAGGAATCTGGGTGACTCACGAGGGGTCAGTGTCTATTTCTAGAGGCCTGGGGGCTTGGCATCCTTGCGATGTTTACTACGGATGCATATAAATAGAAACCTCCTAACGGGATAAACTATGTGAGCAGTGTGTTCCCATAGCTCTGCTTCCAGGTCACAGGTCCATCGTCACGTCTCGGTTCATCGTTGCAATTTGGCAGCACCCGCCATTTTTAATTTAAAAAAAAATTATTAAATTTTTCAAAAAATTGAAATTAAAGAAAGAAAAACAAAGAACAATACATAACTCTGTAAACACACTTATATACATGTTTTCCAAAATGAAAACTAATAGAAATAAAAGAAAGAAAAGGAAAAATAAAAGATATAAAGTAAAAAGAAAAGGAAAAATACTTTTCATAAACTGGAATATTACCAAATTCTTGCTTCAAATACTGCAATATAGTTAAAAAATTATAAAAGACTTCCACCGTATTCGCCACACGTCTCTTAGTTGTCTTACTCGCATTTACATCTGTTCTTCAATCATTTCCCTTCCTTAGATTCTTTCATAATCCATCAAATCTTTATGTTCTCTGAGCTCTTCACAAGGTTAGTCTAGACACAACCAAACCTTCGTATTTGAGCCCTGCTTGTATAAATAATCATTTAAACATTTCCATTGTTTCTGAATTAAATTCTTGACTTATGCCTTATTAAATCCCTCAATTTTTGCTAACTCCAGCAGCACCCGCCATTTGGGGTGATCCTCACAGCAAGCCTGGGAGGTAGACCAGGCTGGGAGGCAGCGACTGACCGCAGGATTTGAACTTGGGTCACCCTGGTCCTGGTCCGACGCTCCAGAGTGGCATAACATGTCTAGGACGGCTCAGTCGGTAAAGCATGGGAGCCTTGGAATGTCAGGGTTGTGGGTTCGAGCCCCTCATTTGGGGTTGGACTAGATGACCCTTGGAGCCCCTTCCAACTCAACAATTCTATGATTCTATGTGGTATTTCAGCAATGCGGGGAGAGGAATAGAGCAGGGCAGTTTCTGATTTGATCCCGGAATGTCCTGCTTTTCCTTAGGACACCCTTATTTTCACTGGAGAAATGTCGGAGGGTCTGGGGCAAAGCTGTCAACTTTTCTTGCGAGGAATCCTATTCGGAATAAGGGAATTTCCCTTAAAAAAGGGGAAACGTTGACAGCTATGGTCTGGAGTTATGCAACCCCCAAGCTGTGGAGATAAGTGACTATATACAACCTTTAGAAGACATCTGAAGGCCAGCCCTGAATAGGGAATTTATTTTTTAATGTTTCATGTTTTATTAAGGTTTTATACAGATGCAATCGAAATTATTCAGCCCCCATTGCAAATCAGGTTTATTATCAAAACTGACACTTTCAGCGAGCCAGTCAGATGGGTGGGGTATAAATAATAAAATTATTATTGTGATGGAATGGGACATCCGTATTTTCATTGGAGAGATGTTGGAGGGTACGGATTAAGCATGCACACATCCACAAAGCATCTATCTGAATGTGGGGGGGTTTCCAAGCCTCGGATCTTGACTGACGTGTCCTTCAGGGTTTAACTCACAGCTGTCTTCCCAGTGACTCAGATGGGTGTCGATTTCTATTTTGGCCTGGCTGCGCATGGAAGCTGGTCCCTAATTATAAACTCTCCTCAGCACTGAGAGCGGAGGGATGACAGCAGCGGGTCCCTTGCATCACTGAGCCCTTTTGGGGGTCTGACTAACAGCCCCCTCCCTTTGCACCAAGTCCTTTTTGGGGCGAGGAGAGCGGCGGACGCCTGGGACCCCAATAAAAGGTCTCAGGCTCCGGGAGAGAGAGCAGAACAGAGCCGCTTCTGGAGAACCACAGCCCACAAGCCAGAAGACCCTTGAAGCATCCCTGAGGCGAAGATGCTCTGCCGACTTCACCTGGCGGCCCCCCGGAGCCCCCTGCTCAGCCGGGCTCTGTGGCCCCCCACCCGCTCGCTCTTTGAGGACCTGGAACGGGAGATGGATTCGCTGTGGGAGCTGCTGGGCAACTGCAGCAACTGGCCGCTCCGGGGCCACGAGGAAGCGTCCCGGGGACCGGAAGAGGCCCCGTTTGCGGTGACCCAAGACATGGCTGGCTTTGACCCCCGGGAGCTAGTGGTCAAGCTGGTGGGCCAGAAGCTGGTGCTGACCGGCAGGAAGGCCACGCAGACCCCCGGAGGACCTTTCCGCTACGAGCTCTTCCGCCGCGAGTGGGACGTCCCGGGCAGCGTGGACCGCCAGCAGCTCAGCTGCTCCATCTCCCGAGAGGGCCAGCTGCGCATCGAGGCCGCCGGGCCGCCCGCCAGGACAGTGCCCATCGAGGTTGGCCGGGCGCCGGGCAGCGGCCAGGAAGCCGCCTCTGCCACAGAAGACCGCCGGACCAAAGGCTGAGGGGAAAGCGAGGCGCAGCAGAGACTCTGGGTGGACTTGGGACTCTGGAGCAGGGCTTTTCTGCCCATGAATGTTTTTCACTATAACCTTTCCCTTTGTGGTGGTCAGTCAATTTGCAGATATAACGCTGGAAAACAGGCGTCTCTATGAACGAAAGGAGAAGCCTGCAGGTCAGGGTGGAGGTTTTTTTTGTCCTTGTTCATATCTCGTGTTTTGATGCTGTATTTTATGTTGTGAACTGCCCAGGGATCTCATACCCTCCAACATTTCTCCGATGAAAATAGAGTGTCCTATTCAGTAAAAATAATAAATATTTATACGCAATACTATTTATGCATTATGGGGTGCTTATTTAAAATCATCGGAAATACGATTACAATTGACCGTCGTACGGCCCGGGTCCACATTCTTTGTGTCTAGACAGGCTTTGCCCTAAACAAAAATGTTTTCAGCAGTCGCCGAAAATAATACTGTGACGGCACCTGCCCATCGTCAAGAGGCAGGGAGTGAAAAGATCAATTTCTTACAAATGCAGAATTTGGTATTATGCTTTTATGCAGAGGGCCTTCTCGGTGGTGGTGCCCTTCCTCCCATCAGATGTCAAGGAGATAAACAACTATTTGACTTTTAGAAGACATCTGAAGGCAGCCCTGTTCAGGGAAGTTTTTAATGTTTGATTGTGTTTTTATAAGTGCTGAAAGCCACCCAGAATGGCTGGGCAACCCAGTCTAATAATAATAATAATAATAATAATAATAATAATAATAATAATAATAATAGTTATCATTACTGTTATTATTCTGAGGTGGTTCAGCTGTAGATTTGGGTCTGTCTGGACTGGTCAGTGTCCCAGGGTCTGACTTGTGAGAGGTAGAAATTCAAGATATACCCACATCAACACTGCCCCTTAGCAATTTGAAGTGTGTGTGTTAAATTCGATTCCCCGGTTTTCATGGGCTTGAAATGTTTTAGGAGCACCAACACCTGGGGGAATTTTGAGTGGCAGAAAAAAATATCCTTGCTTCTTCCTCTTTCTACCTTGGGTCTGGACTTGGGAGCTGATGCAAGGAGTTGCAAGAAACTGATGGTGCCGTCCCTCTCTCAAGACCTTTCACCCAAATTGTGAGACTTGAAGCAGGAGGGGGTTGAGGCAGAAAGTGAGGAAGTGGATGAGCTTTTTTTTAAAATATAAATTCCCTTTCTTAGCTGTCCCAGAACTTCCCTTTGCCTAGCCAAAGCAGGTACTGAGCTGTTCCTTCAGGAGACAGTAAAGGAGGGATGGATGAATCTAGGTGAGAGAACTTAACTCGGTGCTGTTTCTCTGCCTGGCCTCCCTCACAGGGCTGTTAGGAAGAAAACGTGGCTGGCACCAGGGAGGGGGCTGTGTGTGACCCCTGCATATTCCTGCATTGCGGGGGGTTGGAGTAGATGACCCGCAGGGTCCCTTCCCACGCCACGATTCTATGACAAAGGCAGAGCTCAGGTTTGGAAAGCAGGTCTTGCCAGCAGTGTCCTTGTCGGCCCCACAGCCCAGCCTGGCGCCCGCCTTCACAAGAACAGGCAGCCTTTTCTTCGCAGATTTACTGTGACTGCAAAAGGGGGGAGGATTTCTCTACTAGAGTCTAGAGTCCTTCCTTTTTTGTCTTTTTTTTGGTAAATTTTTTTAGGGTTTTTCGATATTACCAAATGAAAAAGAAAATAGAAAATTACAAATATATATGTTAAAACATCAAATTTTCTCACTTTGTCTTTATTTACTTGTTTCCCGGGACTCTCAATACTCCCTTTTTTGTGTTCCGTTCAATTTTCTAGTTCGCAGTTTTCTTTCCCTTCTTTATTTTACCTGATACTTTATCTTAATTATGTATAACTTTATTTAATTATAAAACACATGTTCTTCATATTCTTTAATACCCATTACAGCCATAGAACCACATAATTTTCAATCCTAGAGTCTAGAGTCTTCCAGAAGGAATCTCGTTGATTTCGCTGATTTCCATGGCAGCAGCTTTTTTTATGGGGGGGATGGCTTCTGGCCAACGCCTCCCACACCCCAGGGCACTTTCTTTGCACCTGCACCTTTCTCTCTCTCTTTCAATTATATTTTATTAACTTTCAACATTTTTAAACATACACAGTCAAAACACAATTTCTCTCCTTTTTCTCGACTTCTTCTCCCACCCTGTTTTCCACTGAGTTGTTGCTTCTCCCCTCCTGCAGACCCTCTACTCTATCAAATCACAACCACAATATTACAATCCAATTCCTGTTGCTCATTGTTCATCGTATGGTGATATTTCTTTAAACGGTTTGAAAAAGGCATCCATTCTTCCATAAAAACACTCGTTAAGATTCTCCGAATTTTGCTGCTAATTTTGCCAGTTCTGTGCCTTCCCTGGGGCTTCTCAGCACAACACCGGCTAGCAAATCCTCTTGCAAACTGTGGCGTCATTTCTGGACTTCTGCCAAGGCCTTCCCCTCGGCTGCGTCTCCATCTCTGGAAGGGCCTCCTCGGTTCCAGGTCCGTCTGGAAAGGCCTCTTACAACACGTTGCGTCAGTCTCTGGGCTCGTGCCAAGGAGCTGGCTGGCAGATAAAAGCCCAAGCGCACTTGGAGTCAGCCAGACGGAAAGGAACCACAGCCGAAGGAGCTCAGCTTGCTAGATCATCAGCCGAAGGAGCTCTGCTGCTAGATCATCTCTTCCCCAGCTGTTTGACTGCGGCACCAACCATGGCAAGCTATTCCCGCTACCTGCTCCGCATGCTGCCCGTGCGCCGCTGGCCGCTGCAATGGCTTTGGCCCCGTCTGGCTCAGTGGGCCACAATCGGCTGGCGAAGCCCTCTGGCCGGCAGCCAGGCAAAGCCTCGTCGACCGGGTCGCAGCCGACGTGGAGAGGCAGTTTGTGGAAAATGGAGGCAATGAGCAGGGCCTTCTTCCAGGCCTTTCCGCTGCAGAAGTTTCCTGCGGGAAGCGTCGCCGGAGGAAGAGCGTGGCTCGGGACGGCGAGGCGGGCGGAAAGTTTCGCCTCTCGGTGGACGTGGCTGGCTTCGCGCCGGAGGACGTGGCTGTGCAGCTGGACGGCAGGAAGCTGACGGTGACCGCCAAGCGTCTGCGTGAGAAGACAAGCGAGGAGGGCGGCTGCGTGAGGGAACACCACGAGGTGCACCGCGAGACTCTTCTCCCCGCCGACGTGGACCTCCAGGCCGTGACGTGCTCCCTGGCATCCGACGGGCAGCTGTGCATAGAAGCCCCTCGTCTGGCTGCGGCAAAAGCCATCCCCATCGACGTGAAGGCGGCCGACCAGCAGGTTCCGGGAACCAGCGCAGAGAAGGACCTGGAGAAGCCGCAGGAAGCTTGAAAAGTCTGGACGTTTTGGGTGCGCACCGGCTACTGCAGAAATTAGTGCGACATCTTAGTTCGGCTCCCCATTCAAAAGAGCGTCTGCCGGGATTCCAGCTGACCTTTTGACTGCCTTGACTAATATTTCCAATTTATTAATCGCCTTCGAAAGCGATGTACGCTTCTTTTCCTTGTGTGCAATTAAAAAATGTGTGTCTTATTTTTCCACGTTAATCGCCAAACTGATTTACGCTTCTGTTCCTTATCCACAATAAAAACGGTGTTTTATTTTTGCACTTTGGTTGTGTTTTTGCTTGCTTTCATAGAATTGTAGAGTTGGAAGGGAGCATGAGGGTCATCTAGTCCAACCCCCTGCAATGAATGAATATTTTGCCCAATGTGGGACTCGAACCCAAGACCCTGAGACGAAGAGTTTTTGTGCTCTACCAACAGCTATTCGGTGGGTTTGCTTTGAGCATGACTAATGTAGGAAGCACAACTCTTCCAATGGCACGCTCCTCCTCCTCCTGAAGGCAGGATTCAATTTGGCAGGATTTCAAGATTGGTTTGCTGGGAGGCTTAGTAAGGGCAGATGGCCAGGCAAATTTTGGAGTGCCCCCTGCAGTGGTTCAGTGGTTCTGCAGTAGCAGCCAACCACAGCCAAGCACATTTAGCTAACAAACATCGTTTTGTAGTTGGATGAGATGGATTTACAGCCTTGTCGGTGATTTGTAACCATGCGTGGTTGAGCCTCCAGCCAATTTTTTAGGACAGAAGGGAACAATCTTATTTGTGGGTTTACTGGATCATCATTAAACACCCTAGTTTTACTTTCCAAAGAGAAAGTCAAGCCCTGCACCTTCTACTTGTAGTTTTGCAGAATAGATCCTGTCTGTAAAATCACCCTGGCCTTGCAGTAGGAGCCCAAACATTAGATGGAGGGCTTAATGTTAAAATGTTTCAGAGAATCAATTTCTTAGAATCATAGGTAGTTGTGTGTGTGTAAAGAATCTGTGCAATTGTTTGATTACAGAATTGTGAATAATCATTTAACAAAAAACAACTATCTGATGTTCAGAAGACATCTGAAGGCAGCCTTGATTAGGGAAGTTTTTAATGACTGATGTTTTAATGTATTTTTAATCGCTGGAAGCTGCCCAGAGTGGCTGGGGACAAATAATATATATATATATATATATATATATACACACACACACACACACACACACACACACACACACACAGTATATATTCATCATAACAGTGGGAACCAGGACGCAAAACAGGCCTAGAGATGGCCATTAGCTATCATGAAGGAGAACCTCCATCTTTAGCAGCAGTCTACCTACAAATGCCAGATTGTTGGGAGGCAAACAGGAAGGAAGGCCTGGGGCAGCTACAGTGGCATCTGGGCAGCCCTAGTGGGAGGGTGAAAGCTGGAGTAAGTGGACCTCTGGGAGCCCCCAAATTTTCCCCAAAAGGACTTTCTTTTTTTAGATGGTTGCACTAATACATTGCATGCACTTAGGAATTGTCAGCAACAGAGCTTAACAATGATGTGCACATGTTGCTTTAAAAATGTTTTTTTTAAGAGCTTCTGAGCTGATTTACTGCAAAGAGCAGGAGCCAGGAGCAGTCTATCTGAACAGCTAGAACTCAGACTTTTCAAGCCACGGCAGCACCCTTAAACTGAACTATTTGAAAACACGTCAATGCTTGCCTGTTGGTGCAGCCGGCCTTTGTTACAGAGGCGACACACCCAGAAACAAAATGTAGTTGAAACTACATTACCGGGGAAGGTTTCTGGGGGCCACACAGACAGTCCTCGGGGGCCACTTTCCCAGCAGGTTGTGCTCCCCCAGTTTTAATACACAGCTGCCCTCCTCCGTCAGGCTCCATATTTATTCTTTGCTAACCCAAAGCTTTTACATAATGCCCTCCCCTCAATAAATTGCATCAGAATCTGGTGGTCCGCTGCTGACAGATTTCTTTTATTAGAGAATTTGTGGGGCAGTGGTGGTATTCACAGTTTAGAACCTGACAGCGGTCAAAATAATGATAATAATTAATAAACGAGAGTGCCCTGCCTGGGCCACGGGCGGGACATGTCCTGGGGAAGGCCAGACCAGTGGGTGCTGGGGTGGGGGACCCAAGAATGCCGTCATAAGGCTCTGGGATGGGGGCGAAGGAGTCATGGGGGGAATTCAGAAGGGGGGATTCAAAAGGGGGCCTCTCTGCCCCTTCGTTCAGCCTCCAGAGGGGGGGATTTGGGGGGAAACACCCACCCGTCCTCATCTCCACTCTCTTCTCCCCACTCAACCCACTGCATGCCCCCCAAAAGTGTGCTGAGTTTCATTGGCGCTCACTTTGTGGGTCAGAATCAGTACAGCTAGAGCTCCCACGGTTCCCTGCACGGCCCTAAACAGTCCCCACGGTTCCACGCGGCCGGACCAAAGCGAAGAGACAACCCACCTGCCCCTGTCTCGCTGCGGAGGTCCATTTCTGTACCCCCCCCCGTCCTCCGCAGCAACCCACCAGCTCCCCCTCTTCTCCACAGGACCCTAAGAGACCCCCCACACACTTGGCTGCACAAGCTCTGCCCGCCACGCGCCTCCCGACAGAAACCAGGAACCGCCGAAAGGGGCCCTCAAAAAAGGATTGATCAGAACTTCCAGTGAAATCCAAGTCCCGCCCCCCCCCCCCCCCCGCAAAAAGATACCCACAAGTCCGGGTCCCTTTGAGATCCTGCGAATTCCAGTCTCTGCAGTGAGAGAGAGATGGCGCTGAACCTCTCCACCACCACCACCACACTGCCCCACGGATCTCTCCGGTTCCCCGCCAGCCCCACTGCAAAGGGGTCTGTTGCATCTCGCAACTAAGAGGAGGGTGGGCGGAGCCTCTGGGAGGGGAGGGGCCAAGCCCCGCCCCCCCACCCCAGCTGCCACCCTACAGTCCAGAGCGGCGTGTGCGTCTGTCGAGGAGAGCCGGAGTGGGGGTGGGATGGGGGTGCCGTGGTGGGGAGAAGGGATGGAGGAAAGAGGGGCTGGTTTTCCGCTTGGGCTCCTCGCCGTCCCTGCCAGCAGATGGCGCTAGTTCCTGGCTGCGATGACAACCGACAAGGCCACGCCCCCCAGCGCCACGGCTGTTGCGCCAAAGAGCCACTTCCACGGAATGGACTGGGAAAGAGAGATTGTATTGTCGTTACAATTATTGTTATTGCATTACAATTATCATATTAATACTGGTCGTTATTATGCTATTATTATTATTATTATTACTATTATTATACAGTCATACCTCAGGTTACAGACGCTTCGGTTTGCGGGTTTTCAGGTTGCGCACTGTGCCAAACCCAGAAGTACTGGAAGAGGTTACTTCCAGGTTTCGGAGCTTGCGCATGCGCAGAAGCACTAAATTGCGCTTTGCACATGCGCAGAAGCGCAGAATTGCAACATGCACATGCGCAGACGTGGCGCTGCGGGTTGCGAACACTGCGGGTTGCGAACGTACCTCCCGCACAGATCACGTTCACAACCCGAGCGTCCACTGTACTATTATTCTATTAATATTAATTGTTATTACTGCTATTATTACTGCTATTATTATATGGTATTTCTTATATAAATATTTCAGTCAATGACTAGTAGAGAAGAAGAAAAAAAGCATACTATTCAACATGAAGTTAAAAGCAATGTTAAAAATGAGAAATATCAAAGAATTATGTTAAAATGGTAAACAAAACAAAAAATGCCACCAAGGTAAGGTGTTAGCAATTCTAAAATGAAGACCAGATCCAACCCCTGGCATTGCTGGAGTGTCACGCAGCTAAAGCCTCTCTGGCAGCTCTGCTTAAAAACCTCCAAGGAAGGAGAGTTCGCAAGTTCCAGAGGGAGACTCTTCCTCTGTTGAACAGCTCTTGCCAACAGAGTTTTCTCCTGACCAGAGGAGGAATGACCGCTGGGAGGAACGAAGAGAGAAGGAACTCCCTGCTGCATCTACAGCTGCACAACTGTGCGCCTTCCTCTGCCCTGCCTGCAAGAAAACACGTCTCTCCCACCTGGGTCTCTGCGGCTGCAGCATAGTAGTAGTAGTAGTAATAATAATAATAATAATAATAATAATTTATTATTTATACCCTGCCCATCTGCCTGGGTTTCTCCAGCCACTCTGGGCGGCTTCCGATGGAATATTAACATACAATAACCTATTAAACATTAAAAGCTTCCCTAAACAGGGCTGCCTTCAGATGTCTTCTAAAAGTCTGGTAGTTGTTGTTCTTTTTGACATCTGATGGGAGGGCGTTCCACACGGCGGGCGCCACTACTGAGAAGGCCCTCTGCCTGGTTCCCTGTAACTTGGCTTCTCGCAGCGAAGGAACCGCCAGAAGGCCCTCGGAGCTGGACCTCAACCGTCCAGCGGCTTGACCTCACCCCCAAAGGCGCACCTCTCTGTTGTCTCCCGAGACAGACGGATGACTGCCTGCACGCGCCCACGGATTCCTGCATTTGCAGGGGGTTGGACTAGATGACCCATGGGACCCCTTCCGGCTCAGCGGTCGTGTGACCTACCCGCGATGACTTGTCTTTGCACTTGGCGGTAGGTCCGCTGGGGTTGCCCAGCATCTTGCGGTACATCTCCGTCTCCACGCACTTCTGGTCGGCGTGCTTTTTCGCCAGCTTCGAGAGCTCCGTGTGGATGGTCTGGCGGGGGGCGCAGGGAAAGAAGGAAGACGTATTTTAGAGGAAGCAGGAGAGGGAGCCTTCCTGGATCAGACCAAATGGGCCCCTTGATGTGCCTCTCTGGGTTTGTTTGTCGTTTCAAGGGATAGACTGCTGCGGAATGTGGAGGCTCCATTCAGATGCCTTGGCCAATGTTTGGCTTATAGAAAAACTATACCACACTTGATTTTTTTTAAAAAAAAAGTTGAGCAGTTCAATTATGTGTTTTTTTGGGGAAAATGACTAAAATACATAGACCAATCTACACCCAAAAAAAATTCATTTGAAGAATATCAATAAAACATTGAAAACTGATTTTAAAAAGTAACGCGACCCGCCCAAAACAGAAAATATTTACTATTATTAACAATGTTGGGGTTTTTTCTGTGGGTACACAAAGGTATGCAATTCCGGCACCTTTTTTGTGTAGAAGAGAAGCACAAATTTTTATTTATTAAGTTCGTATCCCGCCCTTCATCCATAGATCTCAGGGCAATTCACAGCGTAAAAACGCCAGATAAAAACACAAAATGCATAATAAAAATAAGAACAAGGGGAGAAAACCCATTAATTCCCCCCCCCCACCACAAACATTAAAAAGGGTAAAGGATGTTTGAAGGCCTGGTTGAAGAGGAATGTTTTACTAGCCATGGATATTCCAGCTTTTTTTCTGCCATGGATATTCCAGCTTTTTTCCCCATCATCCATAGCTACCAGGACCAGTGCTCAGGGATGATGGGCACTGTAGTCCAAAAACAGCTGGAAACTGTGCAAGAAATTATAAGAACATGATAGAACGTAATAGAGCATCGCAAATGCCTGGGCCTCTGCTGTGGAAGGAGATTGCTGGACTCAGACTCTTGCAGGAGAGGTGAGTCCTAAAACTTGGGTTACACCTGTTGCATCTATTATATATAAAGGCTCACCCGCCACCTGCCCTTTGCTAGAGGAACCTCAGAGTTCCCTCACCTGAGCCTACACCCCGGTTGGGCTTTGCCACGCTTCCTGGGGGAACCTGTGGCCCTCAACCCCACCATACCTGGCTCTCGGCTTAATTTAATGCAGGGCAACAGAGTGTTCGCAATGACCTAACGGGCTGGTGGACTCTCTCCCTTGCTGGGCAGAGATCTGGGCAACCAGCTTCAGGCGCCGGGTTGGACTGGATGCCCTCAAGGGTACCAGGATTCTATCAGCCATCTAAGCCAGAAGAAAGCCACATCTGGGGGCAGCGGCGACAGATGCCTCTGGCTACCAGCCGTTGACAATCTAGATGACCCTCTGGTCCCTTCCAGACCTACGAGGCTCTGGGCCTTACCTTATTTGATGGCTCCAGCTTCAAGGCGGCTTTCAAGATGGGAATGGCCTCTTTGTATTCGCCTTGCTGTGCCAGGACCTAGGAGAGCATAGAAGAAACCCGTGTTTACAGTGGATCGTTTTGCAGGTTTCCAAACTCTGCCATTTTCAAGGACATAAGAAAAGCCAGCTGTTTTGGACTACAATTCCCATCATTCCTGACCACTGGCCCTGCTAGCTATGAAAGATGGGAGTTGTAGTCCAAAAACAGCTGAAGAAAAAGGTCCCATACGCTGCAACCCTTCCGTGGTCGAGTGGAGGATTTGAAACCCAGGCTTCCAGACACTCTAACCACTGCACCACACTGTCAGCATCCTGGGGGGGGGCATCCATGCACTTTCTGGAGACCTGGGTTCAAATCCAACCATACCTATGCAAGTCCACTGTTTGCCCCTGGACCACTCCCTGCCTCTCGGCCACACCTAGGGCTGTTGCGAGGGTGAAACAAGGAGGGGGTGCTTGCAGCCAACTGGACCCTCCACCCTTCCCCTTCCCCACCCCCTGAAAGACAACGCCTACCTTCCCCTTCCGAAAAAGGGCTTTGATGTTGTCCGGCTGCTGTTCCAGGACTTGGTTGCAGGATCGCAGGGCCGCATCGTAGTGGTCCAACTTGAGCTGAGAGGCGGCTAAATTGTTCAGGCACTTCATCTTGACGTCCACTAACGCCTCCTCCTCCTCCTGGGTAAAGTCCACTGCAGGGGGGAGAAGGGCGGGGTTACTAGAAAGGGGGCGGGGTTGCAGCCTGGACAGGGGTGCAGGTTCGAAATGGCAAAACGAGGGCTCTTCCTAGGAATGGGAGACCTAGAATCATAGAATCATAGAGTTGGAAGAGACCACAAGGGCCATCGAGTCCAACCCCCTGCCAAGCAGGAAACACCATCAGAGCACTCCTGACATATGGTGTCAAGCCTCTGCTTAAAGACCTCCAAAGGAGGAGACTCCACCACACTCCTTGGCAGCAAATTCCACTGTCGAACAGCTCTTACTGTCAGGAAGTTCTTCCTAATGTTTAGGTGGAATCTTCTTTCTTGTAGTTTGGATCCATTGCTCCGTGTCCGCTTCTCTGGAGCAGCAGAAAACAACCTTTCTCCCTCCTCTATGTGACATCCTTTTATATATTTGAACATGGCTATCATATCACCCCTTCACCTCCTCTTCTCCAGGCTAAACATGCCCAGCTCCCTGTGGACCTCCAAAGAATCTGTAGAGACCTTGAGGGTCACCCAGCTCAACCCCCTGGCAGGTGGCCCTCCAACCTCTGCGGAAAAACCTCCGCGGGGAGACCGCCACCTCTCAAGGGAGCACATTATGCCATTAAGCAACACTCCCCTGCTTCTGTCTTGCAAGGGAATGCAGACCCCCCGCAACCTAAATTTCCCTCTCTGCCGTCCCAGCTGTAAATGTAAAAAATAAAACCCAACTCATCCAAAGTGTCTAGGAAGAGAGCAGAAGAAGGAATAAGTAGTGTAGGGTCTGCTGCCCCTCCTCACTTTCCACTGTCTCTATGTCTCCCCATTCCTTATTTATTATTATTATTATTATTATTATTATTATTATTATTATTATTACAGTGGTACCTCTGGATGTGAACGGGATCCATTCCGGAGCCCCATTCGCATCCTGAGTAGAACGCAACCCACGTCTGTGCGGGTCGCGATTCACCGCTTCTGCGCATGTGCGCGACGTCATTTTGAGCATCTGTGCAAGCAGCGAAACCCGGAAGTAACCCATTCCGTTACTTCCGGGTCGCCGTGGAGCGCAACCTGAAAACGCTCAACCTGAAGCATATTTAACCCAAGGTATGACTGTATTATTATTATTATTATAATTATTATTATTATGCAGCCCATCTGACTGGGTTTCTCCAGTCACTCAGGCGTCTTCCAACAAATTAAAACACAATCAAACATTAAAAACTTCCTGATACAGGGCAGCCTTCAGAGGTCTTCTAAAAGTCGTGTACAGCAGACACTCGGGTTGCATACGTGATCTGTGTGGGATGCACGTCCGCAAACTGCTGCAGTGCTTCTGCGCATGCGTGGATTACGATTCAGCACTTCTGCGCATGTGCAACCACCATGACATCTGACGGGAGGGCGCTCCACAGGCCCTCAGAGCTGGATCTCTGTGTCTGGGCTGAATGATGCTCCCCAAGTGCACCCTGCCTCCACGCAAGTCCAGGACTGTGATGAGTCACTACAAATCCTGCCATAGGGCTGCGTGACGACAGCCTTGCGTTTTTATGTGTATAGGGAGATATCTTTTATCAAGTTGTTGTTGCTTTTGATACTGAACTTTCAGGGTACAAGGCAGCTCAAGAAGTTAAACTCTTTTGAAAACTGGGGCTCAAAGCTGCTAGCCCTCCTATATTTAGCAAGAGTGCCTGTTAGCCCCACCCCACCCCCTCCCGCCATGGGGGACCAGGCACCTTTTGAACTGGAGCCGATAATCTTCAGCGCAATGTCGTAGGAGTTGATAGCCAGAACGTAGTCTGCCCGCTGGTAGTGGAAGTTGCCACGCTCTCTCTTCCGGTTCGCCAGCTCAATCTTCTCCTTCCCACTTAGGAGTTCCAGGTCGGGGGCATCCTGGGCCGATAGAAGCTCCACTTCAAGTTCCAGAGATGAGTCAGGGGGGATGTCCGGACTCCTGGTTGGAAAGGCCGAGGAAAAAACACCCCATTCATAAAAAGCATGGGCATTGCCCTACGGCAGCCTTTCTCAACCTGTGAGTCCCCAGATGTTGTTGAACTACAACTCCCATCACCCCTAGGGATGATGGGAGTTGTAGTCCAACAACATCTGGGGACCCACAGGTTGAGAACCGCTGTCCTACGGGATCAGAGCCAAAGCCCACCCAGCCCAGGACCCTGACTCCGACAGAGGACAGCAAGACTGCAGGTGAGGCACCCCAAATATCCTGAAGGAGCGTCTCCACCCCCATCGTCCAGCCCAGACACTGAGGTCCAGCTACGAGGGCCACCTGGTGGTTCCCTAACTGTGAGAAGTGAGGCTACAGGGAATTGGGCAGAGGGCCTTCTCGGTGGTGGTGCCCGCCCTAACTGCAGATGTCAAGGAGATAAACAGCTATCTGACTTTTAGAAGACATCTGAAGGCAGCCTGGTATCGGGAAGTTTTCAATGTTTGGTGTTTTATTATATTTCTGTATATGCTAGAAGCAACCCAGAGTGGCTGGGGCAACCCAGTCAGATGGGAGGACTACAAATAATAAAATTATTATTCTTATCCGGTTTACACAGGACACTCTGTGTCCAGGGCAGCTGTTTATCAGCTCCATCTGGTACGCAGGCTGAGACCCTCCCTGCCCACGGACTGTCTCGCCAAAGTGGTGCTTGCTCTAATGGCCTCAGCCCAATATACCTGAAGGAGCGTCTCCACCTCCATCGTTCTGCCCGGACACTGAGGTCCAGCGCCAACGGCCTTCTGGCAGTTCCCTCCCTGCGAGAAGTGAGGTTACAGGGAACCAGGCAGAGGGCCTTCTCAGTAGTGGCACCCACCCTGTGGAACGCCCTCCCACCAGATGTCAAAGAGAAAAATAACTACCAAACTTTTAGAAGACATTTGAAGGCAGCCCTGTTTAGGGAAGCTTTTAATGTTTAATAGGTTATTGTACAGTGGTGCCCCGCAAGACGAATGCCTCGCAAGACGAAAAACTCGCTAGACGAAAGGGTTTTCCGTTTTTTGAGTCGTTCCGCAAGATGAATTTCCCTATGGGCTTGCTTCGCAAGACGAAACGTCTTGCGAGTTCTTGCGAGTTTGTTCCTTTTTCTTAAAGCCGCTAAGCCGTTAATAGCCGCTAAGCCGCTAATAGCCGTGCTTCGCAAGACGAAAAAACCGCAAGACGAAGAGACTCGCGGAACGGATTAATTTCGTCTTGTGAGGCACCACTGTATTTTAGTGTTTTGTTGGAAGCCGCCCAGAGCAGCTAGGGAAACCCAGCCAGATGGACGGGGTATAAACAATAAATTATTATTATTATTATTATTACTCATGACACTTGAATCCTACAGGGTCATCCTAGGAAGGGGAGGAGTGGGAGATTCTGGTCAAGCAAAAAGATTTTGTTGGATTCAGCGGATCCTCTTTCCTCGGGGACTGAATCTCCCGTCAACCCCTCAGGGGAAGGGATTCCTCTCTCCTCCTCCTCACCTACCTCCCTTGCCGGCCGAAGCAGTACTTTGCGTCTGAGATGATGAGCGCTGTCTCTCCCATCTCCATTAGCTGTATGCAGAGGTCCAGGGCCTGCAGAGGGAGAAAATGACTCCAGCAACTGTTGGGACGGAAAGAGAGCCCTCCCAGGCCAGAAGTAAGATTCTTGGCAGCTGGTACTCTGAGGGAGAACACAGCCATTTCAGCCAGCAGGGAAAGGGGGGAGCTCATCTAGTCCAGTATCTGGTTCTCACAGTGGCCAAGAGGATAGCTCTTCAAGGCAGCCTGAGGACAGGATCGGAGGATCGGAGATAGCCCTCTCTGCCGGTGGCTCCCCGGGATCCGTCACCCGGAGGTAGGGGCTCCATTCAGCTGTCATAAGACAGTACCAAACTATCGAAGGCTTTTCACCAAAGCCAGACTAAACGTCTTTCCTTCTGCAGTGTTGGATGGCAGGTTGAGAGGAGTTCCCTACCAGGACAGACTTTGCTCGTGTGCTCAAGACATTGATTCCATAAAACATATTTTGTTGCATTGTGCAAAATATGAGCAAGCCAGGGCTGAACTGATACTACCCTTGTTGGTACCTTTCCCGGGAAAATCAGAGGCTCACTATGTCAGGTTCCTATTGGAAGAATGGACAAATGCTAGAACATTAGCAGTGGCAAAGTTCTTATCGGTGGTTGCAAGAACCAATGATCCCTATATTCTGAACAAAATGCTTGTTTAAACTGGAGGTAGGCTGTATGAATTGTGTATTGCTTTGTAACGATTTGTTGGGTCTCTGGACCGTAATAAAGATTGATGATGATGGTCATAAGAAGAGTTGTGAGAACATCTTATAACTGCACCAACACAAGATTGGGCACACCTGGCTTGTCAGTAAGTAGTACATGTGAAAAAGATCAATAAGAAGTAATAATAATAAATTTTTATTTATACCCCGCCCTTCCCAGTTCAAAAAACCGGGCTCAAGGCAGCTAAAAACAAATTTTAAACACTTAATTAATGCAACAAAAAACAGCATAAAATACGGTATAAAAGAAAAATAACAATAAAATCAGAATTCAAAAATCAATTTAGGGGGGAAATCCATCCAATAAACATTAGATGATCACCAGGACTAGCTGGCTAAATTAGTCCTGTTTGGCCAGCGAGGAGACCAGGGGAGAATTAGCTGTGGGATCCCAGAGCGGGTAATCTTCATAAAAAGGGGAGAGGGAGGGAAGGAAGGGGAATAAAAGATCAGGCTAAGTTCAAATTGAAGGCCAGGTGGAAGAGCTCTGTCTTACAGGCCCGATGGAAGGAGGTTAAATCCCGCAGGGCCCTGGTCTCCTGGGACAGAGCATTCCATCAGGTTGGAGCCATCACTGAGAAGGCCCTGGCCCTGGTGGAGGATAGTCTGACTTCCTTAGGACCTGGGACCTCTAAGCTATGATTACTCATGGACCTTAAGGTCCTCTGCGGGGCAGACCAGGAGAGGCGGTCCCGTAAATACAAGGGCCCTAAGTAGACCCCTAGTGTAACATGAGTCAACCATGTGATGCAGCACCAAAAAAAGTCTAATGTTATTCTAGGCTGCATCCACAGAAGTCCAGGGTCTAGGTCAAGGGAAGGCACAATCCCGGTCTGTTCTACCTTGGTCAGACCCCACCTGGAACACCGTGTCCAGTTCTGGGAGCCACAATTTAAGGAGGATATTGAGATGCCTGAATATGTGCAGAGGAGGGAGAATGAGATGACCAAGGGTCTGGAAACCGAGCCTGATGAGGAACGGTTGAAGGAGCTGGGTATGTTTAGCCTGGAGAAGGGGAGAGTGAGGAGATACGAGATCCATCTTCCAACATCTCAAGGGCTGTCCCATGGAAGAGGGAGAAAGCTTCTTTTCTCCTGCTCTGGAACCAAACTGGATCAAGCCGAGACCAACCAGGTGCAGCTCCCTCACAACTGGTCTTCAGAAGCTGGTTCCCTCACAACTGGCATTCACAACCCAAAAGAGAGTTTTACGCACCTGGATGACATCGCAGTCCCCCAGCGTGAAGGTGAGGCTGGGGTTCTCCTCGACCACCGTGCCGCCCTGCAGCATGGTCTTAAGGCGGACGGTGACATCCTGGCTCTTAACCGGCCGGGTCTCCGGTCCCTGACCTGCGACGATGACTTTCTTTTTCAGCAAACCGCTCCCTGCGGGGAGGAACCAAGAGAAACATGAAGGAGAGCAGAAAGATGTTTGTATCCACTTTAATTAATTGGGATGATATTTGGTGTTCCTCACTGGGCCAGCAACAAGGCGTTGGGTTTATGAATGAGGGGAAATGGCAATAGATGGGACTTTCTGTGTATATTTTTTGCAGATGTATAACTGAATGTGAAACAGATAGATACCAGAAATCTGTAATTTTTTTAACAGAGAAGCAAGTTTTGCTCTTCCTGATTTTTTTCAACAACTTTATGGAAGATTTTTAACATATGAAGCCCTAAAATCCAAACTCATTTATAATAAAAATCAATATATTAAGAGAGAAGCATAATAAAGAAAAATAAACTATAAAACAAAATATGATCCTTACAAAAGAGAGGAAAAAGAGCAGAGAAAAAGTAACTAAAAAGACCCTTTATCACACTTCTGTCATATATTGTGCCATTTATCCACACACATAAAGGCAGAGAGGGGGATTTTTGAGTTGTTCCTGTTTTTATTTTTCTTATGTATTTTGTGTTTTATCTTTTGAACCGTCCTGACACCTGCATCCTTTGCAATGAATTTTGACATGGGGGAAGGGGACAACTAGGAAAAAGTAGAAGTGAAAATAGAAGTGGGAGAATCATAGAATTTCTCCAGAAGGGAGAAATAGAGGTGGGCCAGAGGGGAAGCCAATCCCAGCTGCACCGGTGGAACTTCTGCCTGCCACAGCTTTTGCTGAAGGCGCCGTCCAAAGGCAGGGTGCCCTCACCTAACACATCCACCCACTCGGGGGTCTCCTCCGCGTCTTCCGGAGCAGGGGGCTGCGAGGCGGCCGTCTCTCGGCCGTCGTTTCTGGGCACGTCCTCCAGCGGAGGCAGGCCGATCAGGTCCTCGTCTCGCCCTTCCTCTTCCTCCTCGTCGTTATCCAGGACTTCGAAATCCTCCCCGCTGTCCAGCGTGGAGGTGTTGGATTTCGCCAGCTCGGGAGAGGTCAGGTCCACCAGGCTGGCCCCCGCCCAGTCCGGAGAAATGTCGTCCAGACCTTCTCCCCCGGAAGCCATGGCGGCGGCGGATCAGGGCAGCTGGAAAAGGAAAAAGGGGAGGGAAGAAGAACATACGTTTAAAGAAGATCGGGGAATGTTTATTGAATATATGGAGGGAAATTGTGTTTATTTGAAAACGTGGGCAGCATTAAGATAAACTCAACAGTGTAAGTAAGTTTTGATGGATGTAATAACGGAATACTGAATGGTTTAGTTGAAAACCTCCAAGGAAGGAGAGTCCACCACATCTCCGTGTCGAACAGTTCTTACCCCCAGAAAGTTCTTTCTGATATTTAGTCGGAATCTCCTTTCTTGCAGCTTGAAGCCACGGGTTCGAGTTCTGCCCTCCCCCAAACAGGAGAAAACAAGCTTGTTCCCGCTTCCATTTGACAGCCCTTGAGATATTGGAAGATGGCCATTCCCTGCATTGCGGGGGGTTGGATTAGATGACCTTTGGGGGACCTTTCTATTATCTTATCCCCTCTCAGTCTGCTTTTTTTCAGGCCAAACAGCCCTAATAAGGTTCTGTTTCCATCTCAGCCACCCTCCTCCTCTGTGCAAGGAGCTCAATGTGGCATACTTGGCTATCCCATTTCTTAATTTTAAGCCCCAACAACAACAACCTTGCAAGGTAGGTCTGGCGGAAAGAGGAGACCGCCCCCCAAGCTCACACTTCTTGTCTCAGCAACGATTCGAACCCTGCACTCTCTAGCAGGTTCTAGCCCACGTCAGAAGGCAGCCATGATAACTGGGGACTTCCTAGCTTACAATTCAGCTCCTATTTTGACAAGACCACCTCCCAGCTGTTAGGACGAGATTGGTGCGAATCTCCTCTTTGTCCTTAACAGAACCCCAAGCATGCATATTGGAGAAATCGCCATCCCCCAAGGTTTAGGGGTGAGGAAATGATCCTACAGACAGGTTAAGACATCTCCAGTTTCTTAGGCACCCAGAGAGATTGCAGATGCTGATAACTTTAAAAAAAAAACCACACGATTGAGATTTTAATCCTACCCCATTCTGCCAGAAAGTTCAAGAGATGGGTGGGCAGAGAGGAAGGAAGGAAGCAAGAATCATAGAATGATAAAATCTGCAGATTTGGAAGGGAACCCAAGGGTCATCTAGTCCATAATAATAATAATTTATTATTTATACCCCACCCATCTGGCTGGGTTTCTCCAGCCACGCTGGTCGGCTTCCAACAGAATATTAAAATACAATAACCTATTAAACATTAAAAGCTTCCCTAAACAGGGCTGCCTTCAGATGTCTTCTAAAAGTCTGGTAGTTGTTTTTCTCTTTGACATCTGATGGGAGGGCGTTCCACAGGGCAGGCGCCACCACCGAGAAGGCCCTCTGTCTGGTTCCCTGTAACCTCGCTTCTCGCAATGAGGGAACCGCTAGAAGGCCCTTGGCGCTGGACCTCAGTGTCCAGGTAGAACGATGGGGGTGGAGACGCTCCTTCAGGTATACTGGACCGAGGCCGTTTATGTTACAAAAACAAGAAAAAAACCAATAATCCCATCCTCATGCCCATAACACATCATCAGAATCATCATAATTTTCATTCTTGCACCGATCCCTGCGAGGTAAGGCTAGGCCACAGGAGAGAAACCCACCAGGGCAAAGGTCCGCTAAGCCAGTTTGGGGACCAAACTGAGGGTTTGCAGGCAGACAGCTGCCAAATTTTTACTGCGGTTTCATCACAGAACTGCAGGGCTAGAAGGGATGCCAAGGGTCATGTATCCCAACCCCCAGAAATGCAGGGATCAATCACAGCCAATACGGCACTTGCCTCTCTGCAGGGTCAGAAAACATTACCTTAAGAATAAACATAATGGGTCGTTCCCAGCCGAGTTTTTCAGGAGTAGACCCCTTGGAAATTAACGGACCCATGGATCTCAATAATGGATCTGCTCAGAATATGACCTACATTGGAAATGTCCTTTTTTAAAACAATGATGGTGAGCTGTATTCAATGTTAGTCACAGCAATCGGCATAAACCCATTGAAGTTGCTGGGTATGACTAACCTAGACCAATAGGCTTGAATAGCTCCCTTAGCTGGAGACATATATTATATATATAGCACTATATTCACTTTTCTATTATTTCCTCTGTGTGTGTGTGTGCGTGCGTGCGCGTGTGAATTTGGAAATTAATTGTTTCCTGCAGAAAAGTAATACTATTAATACTAACACTTAGAAGCGTAGCGGATAGAGTGCCGGACTGGGGCCTGGGTTCAAATCCCCCAACTCAGCTATGAACCTTGGGTGACCTGGGGGGGGCAGTCACTGTCTCTCAAGCCAACCTACTTTGTAGGGCTGTTGTGTTGATGAAATGAGGAGCAGGAGGGCCACATACAATACCCTGAGCTCCTCAGAGAAATAAATAAACAAATAAATAACAAACAAACAAATCAATCAATCCCACTTTCCCATAACAACAGCAATAAAGAACAATAAGTAAATTTGCTTATTCATAGACTGTTGCTGGAGGAAGCTTTTCATGGACAAAACTCCCCAAACCTTCAGAAATTCACATGCCTTCCTAATAATGATAATAACAGGAATAATTTCATTATTTGTACCCCGCCAATTTGATTAGGTTGCCCCAGGCACTCTGGGTGGCTTCCAACATACGCAAAAACGTAAAATCTAGATGTCTTCTGAATCTAAGTAATGATGATACAGTAATAAATTTGTTTATTTGTCGGTTCTGTTCCTAGAGGAGCCTATTTTGGAGGCTAAGTCTCCCTGCACCTTCAGAAATTGACATGCCTTCTACACTCACAAGCACCCATCCTCTCCCCAGCAGACAGACCCCGGGGCACCCCAAGCTGACCCCTTTCTCAGGCTCCACCAGGACAGGGAAGGGAACAAGCAACTCACGGTCAGCAGATTCGCAGCACAAACAACAGGAAGCCGGCGTCTGCGCAACATGTCATTAACCTGTGGAACTCCCCGAGGAAGGGCTCAGTTGCGAAACGCCTGCGTCACATGCAAAGGCTCAGTCCCTAATGGGATCCCCAGGAAGATCTGGAATGTGCCCCGCCAGAAGCCCTGGAGAGCCACTGCCAGTCAGTGCAGGCAATGCTGAGTTCGAGGGACACAGTTTTGAGGCAGCTTTCTGCATTCCTTTGCTAAAAGGTTTTTAAGAAGATAAAACCTTCAAGCAAGTCTGCCTGCAATTTTGCCCTTTGCAGAAGGAATGCTCGTGGCTCAAGAGATGGTACGGAACAATATCAGAGTAATATTATGCACGAGACCCTTGATATTAGGGTCGTGGGTTCGAGACCCATCTTGGGCAAAAGATCCCTGCATTGCAGGGAGTTGGACTAGGTTACCCTAGCGATCCCTTCCAACTCTATGATTCTATGTGCATGCAAGGGGAAAAGCAGGAAGCCAGGGCGGGTTCGGATCTCGCCTCCGCTGAACTCCCTAAGTAGATATCCTTATCCAAGACGCCCTCTGTTTCTTTCTGAGCCTAACCCTGGCACCCTTCCCTGGGCCCCACCTGCTGCAACACTTCGCAGGGTTGCTGTAATTACTTGTGCTCTGATCTGACCATTCGGGCAAATATAATAATAATAATAATAATATTAAGACCTGCCTGGTAGCCAGATTCTGCACCCAGATTTGTAGGCACAGGTCATCCTCCAGAATAAAATAGCTTACTAGGGAAATGCTGAAGTCGCCCTTTGGGGAGCCTCAGGGTCAATTTTTATGGTAGCCCAAATCTCAGTTGTACGGGTGTCTGTATATATCTCAATTTTAACTCATGAGCTATTGCTGCAATCTGCTCTGATTGTATATTTTCTCTTTATGAACGCTGTTTTTATTGTGTTATGCGAGCTGGTCTTTGACCGTAATAAATTATCTATCTAATAATAATAATAATAATAACCACAATTCCATTTTAGCATGCCATCTCAGGATTATAATTAAAATTAAAGCATTCTGACACAGGCAGGCACGAAAGGACAGCAAAGCCCGATCAAAAAACCAGGTTCTGCCCCAACACATCCAAGCAGGCTGGCTGGCAGGCAGGCAAAGACGGCTGCAACCCAGGACATATTTCCGTGCCTCACCTCAACCCACACGCAGAGAGGAGGCAAGGGCTGGCGAGGCCGGGGTAAATGAAAATAATAATAATGTGTATTTCTAGGCCACAAAAGTGAGTTGAGGGTGCACACCCACACCCAACACAGGAGATCTTGAGGACTAGGAAGCTTATCACAGCAACACGGGGAAACGGAGAGAAGATTTGTGTTGGATTTCAAAGCAGGGTTACGTGATGTGGCCTAGCCTCTGAAACGCCACCCCCCCCACACATGGGCCCAGGCGCCCCTTGGCCGGGCTCCAAGGTTGAGGCCTTAATCCCCAGGCGCTTCCTCCAATCCCTCCCCCACCCTGCCTAAAACTTGGCAGCCAGGCAGAGGAGCAAATGGCAAATCTGGGGTCCTGGGCTTACCGCTATGGGCTTCCCAAGAGCTGCGTGTTCGAGCCCTCGAGTCCCGGATTCGAAAGGCGCCACATGCACGACCTGCAAAACAAGATAAAATTTTATGGGGGGGGTGGGAGAGAGGAAGGCAGCTAATGCAGAAAGGATTGCAAACACACAAACAAACCCCCCCCCCCAGGTTGCAAAGTCCAGGCAACTGCCTTCTCTGAACCTCCACCAACACCCCCTCTCCCCATTGCATGGGTGCAATCTCTGCCTTCCCCACTGTTAAGAACTCCCCCCCACATTCCTGCCCTCCCCTCTTCTCCCCCCCCCCAAAAAAATATATTGCTTGCAAGGCACTCACCTGGTCCAGGAATGATTCCTCTCCCACCAACCCCCACCTCAATTCCCCCACCACTGGCTCAGCTGACAACAGGAAGTCAACGCTACTGGTTAATGGGGCTGCCAGTCAAAGCCTGCCCCTCCCTCTTAAAGGGAAAGGGAGGAAAAATATTTCCCACGCAGATCTGATTTTGCTTCCTAAAATTCGTAAACAGCCTGACCCTAAAATTATTTTTAAATTTTATTGTATTATTGCATTATTTCATTTTTTTTAAAAAAAATGAAATTATTTTTTAAAATAATTTTAGAAGTTGTGTGTCCTTGTTTCTCGGTTTGATCCATGTTTTTGTATAGGGCTTGCCCCCTGGCAAAAGGGTGTCCAGAACCCAACCTCGCAGGGTCGTTGTTAGGGGGAAACAGGGAGGGAGAGAAGCCTGCATGCCCCCTTGGGCTGCTTCTGAAGAGAGGGCAGACTATTGAAGTGTGATAATAAAATGAGGAATAGGATGCAAAGAGCATAAATAAATAAATGAATTTAAGGACAGTGGGTACAGATTAATAGCAAAATAAAGGCATTGGCTTTCATTTCAAATTACACTGCTATAGCCACCTATAGCAGTCCAGCAAGCACAGTAATTCTGTGTATGTTTACTCAGGTTTCTAGTCCTCATGGCAGCAATGCTTCTGAATGCTGCTTGCTGGAAGCTTTTGTGCTTGGATTCCTCTTGGAACCTGGGATAGCTCAGTTGGTAGAGCATGAGGCTCTTAATCCCAGGGTTGTGGGTTCGAGCCCCACGTTGGGCAAAAAGATTCCTGGGGGTTGGACTGGATGACCCTCATGGTCCCTTCCAACTCTACAGTTCTGTGAATCTGTGAGTCCTGCTTGTGGGCTTCCCATTGGCTGGCTGCTGTGAGAACAGGATCCTGGACTAATAGGCTACATGGGCTCTTCTGACGGGTAATGTGGTTTAGTGATTAGAGCATTGGGAGGCCAGGGTTGGTCATGAAGCTCATTGTGTGACCCGGGGCCAGTCATTGCCTCTCTGCCCAACGTACCTCATAAGGACATTGTGAAGATAATAAATAAGTCCTATTGCATCCAATAGAACTTACTCCCAGGTAAGGATCACAGCCATAATTCAGCTTGCTCCTGTGTAACCAGCAGCTGGCCAATAGGCACAGGGTCCAAGCCCTGGGGGGGGGGGGGGCAGGGCATATTAAGAATAAGATCTGTCCCAACATTTAGCTATTAAAATAGGACACTATTCATTATTCTTCTCTCCCTGTTAAATGTGTTATAGATATACAGTCCAGCAACTCATAAAAAGGTAAAGGTAAAGAGACCCCTGACCATTAGGTCCAGTCGTCAGTGGCGTAGCGTGGGGGGTGCAGGGGGGGCCGGCCGCACCGGGCGCAACATCTGGGGTTAGGGCAAATCCAAGGGTTAGGGGGCGCAAATCCACGGGTTAGGGGGCGCAAATTACTTGCCTTGCCCCGGGTGCTGACAACCCACGCTACGCCACTGCCAGTCGTGGCCAACTCTGGGGTTGCGGTGCTCATCTCACTTTATTGGCCGAGGGAGACGGCGTACAGCTTCCGGGTCATGTGGCCAGCAGGACTAAGCTGCTTCTGGTGAACCAGAGCAGCGCACGGAAACACTATTTACCTTCCCGCCGGACTATTTATCTACAGTGAACGCTCGGGTTGCAAACGTGATCCGTGATCCGTGCCAGAAGCACATTTGCAACCCGTAGAGTTCACAACCCGCAGAGCCGTGTGTGCACACGTGCGGATCGCAATTCGGCGTTTCTGCACATGTGCAAAGCGCGATTTAGTGCTTCTGCGCGTGCGCAAGCGCAGAAACCCGGAAGTAACCAGTTCCGTTACTTCCAGGTTTGATGTGGTGTGCAACCTGAAGCATATGACTGTACTTGCACTTTGATGTGCTTTCGAACGGCTAGGTTGGCAGGAGCAGGGACCGAGCAATGGGAGGTCGCGGGGATTCATACCGGCGACCTTCCGATCAGCAAGCCCTAGGCTTAGTGGTTTAGACCACAGCGCCACCCACGTCCTTAGCAACTCATAGGAATGTTTAATAATTTAATACTCATAGGAATGTTTAAGAATTGAGGTGTTTGTCAGGGGATGAGGAAACTGAGGTCCTCCAAATTCATGGAAATGTCATCAGAGGGTACCCTAAGCGTCATCTAGTCCAGCCCCTGCAATGCCATGTCTTTGCCATCACCAATGATGGGGGTCCAGAATCCAGCAACAAGGTTCCGCAACCGTTTCATTGACACCTATTAGCCATGAGAGAGAGACGGAACCTCCCTATACAGAGGAAGTCTATCTCTGACTACCGGATGTGGGATAAACAGCAGGCAGGTACTTGTCCCAGGTACAGGAGCTGCCTGAAAACATTTAACTGGCTCAAACCAGCTTATAAGCGAGGAAAATCTAGTTTTAGATCCCCTCCACACTCAACAGAAGCTCCACATCCAGCTGCAGTCTACCTGCCTGCAGAGTAAACCTCAGGAGGCAACTCTCTCAACTTCCCACACCTTGTGGGGAAATGCTGGATGGGCAAGAGGATGAACTTCCAGTGTCCTTAAAAGCAGAGTGCAGACTGGATTGCCTAACACAAGAGTCAGGTTATGTATTAACCATTTGTCTCTCAGCCAAGTATTTGTCCCACGCAAGTATTTCTCAAAAATAAAAGAGCCAAGGAGAGTGGGAATTGCAATAGCTGGCATTTAATTGCATTAAGTGTGCAATAAATCAGCTTTTGCCAAGTTTCGCAGTCACAGAATGAGCTCTGATGTGGCCAAGTTTGCAGATGAAACTAAATTGTTAGGGGTTGCAATGCAAATGTAAAGGAGCCAAAAAAATTTGAATTTTACATATATGCTCCTTGGGTCTTAACTGGCAATAACTGACCAGGAATGTAACACTGGGTTCATAGCAGTTCGCTCAAATGAAGATGTTAAACCCAGTATGTGTCAGATATGAAAGAGGCAAATTCCATGCTAGGGATCTTTAGGAAATAAATTGAGAATAAAGCTGCTGTTCTACAAATCTATGATGCAGCCACAAGGCAGCGTGAAACAGGCAGTAGAATGAAAACTGCACCCCAAAAGCACATTTCAGCCTCAGGCCACGCGCCACTGCCAGGTAGGCTAAGCCACCCTGTGCCTACCTTGTAGTCTATCAAGATCTACGCTCTGCACGTGCCCAGAAACCCTGGTGAGCCAACATATGCCTACCTTGCTGCCTCTGGAGTAACACCCTCTCCATGTGGCCAGAAAACCCAGGGAGGAAGGTGCGACCGACCATCTTGTTTAAGGAGAAATGAAATCTCTGCACATGCCCAGAAACCCAACTGGGAGCAGATTGTAACTAACCGGTTGTCTAGGGATGCCCTCTGCACATACCCCGAAACCCTGGGGGCCAGCATATACCCATCTTGCTGTGTAGGGAGAAACGCACTCTGCACGTGCTCAGAAACTCGGAGAAGGGTGTCAAACTTTACCTAATTCATTCCATGTTGCTAATATATGTGTTGGAAGCCGCCCAGATTGGCTGGTGCAACCCAGCCAGATGGGCGGGATGTAAATGTCCATTTTTTATTTATATTTTATTAATCAGAGATAAACTCTGCACATGCCCAGAACCCCGGGGTTCTGCCCCTCCCTTAAATTATAATTTATTACATTTACTTCATTATATATCGTAAATCTAGAGCCTACTTTGCTGTTTGTGGCGATGCACTCTGCACATGCTCAGGGGCACCCGCTCGGCGTCTCCTCCGCGCTCCTAGCCAGACGCTTGGGGGCGTGGCCTGGGGCGGGCAAGGGGGCGTGGCCAGCGGAGTTCCCCAATCGAGACGGAGGACGAGCCGCGCTGGGCTAAGCGCGGAAGTAGGCCCCGCGTTGCCAAGGAAACGGGCCGGGTTCCATACGCACGCACGCACGCACGCACGCCGCGCAAGGGGGACGCCGAGGTCGCGCCGTGCGTGGGGCCACGCCCCAACCCGGAAGTGAGCGAGCGGGCGAGCAAGCTGGGCTCCGTGCGCGCGCCTGTCCGGGGCAGGAGGCGGCCCTCGGCGGGGGCAGCGGCGGCGGCGCGGAGCGAGGGGCCGCCGCCCTCACCTCCGGCGCCTCGACGGGCCCTCAAGGCTCCCCCGCCCCAGCCACGGGCAGGTGAGCCCGGAACTGGCGAGGCCCCTCAGGTAGGCCGGGGGCGGGGCCTCCTGGGAGGGGGGCGCCTTCCCTTCCCGGGGGCAGGAGCTCTTCTTGTGCGGGGGGGGGGGGGAATAAGCTGGGGAGGGCCTTGTGGGTGGAGCCTTTGCCTTGGTGGGCGGGGCCTTCTCGGCTCTTGGAGGTTTGTTGTGGGCGGGGCTTCTGGTTTCAATGGGTGGGGCTTATTGGGGAGGAGTTTGTGGGCGGGGTCTTTGGTCGGCGGGGCTTTGCTGTTGGGAGCTCGTGGGCGGGGAATTCTTGCATGGGTGGGCGTGGTTTTGCATGGGAGGGGCTTGATGTGGGTGGCGCTTCTGGTTGGAGTGGGCGGGGCTTGTCTGTTATTGGGGAGGGTCTTGTTGCAGGGGCTTTGAAGGAGGAGCAGGAGGTCAGTTGGGAAGCTTCCTTGGCTCCTGTTATGGGGAAGGGGCTTTGCCTGGCGTGGCAAAAGTGCTTCTCAGATAACAAGGGACTTTGATTTCTGGGGAAGGGGCTTGCTTACAACAAGAAAAAAGACACTTTACACTTCCTTTTTGATCTTGCCACCCAGGAAGGGCAGGGCTGCTTGGTCTCTTCTGCTGCTGCTCGCAGCTTGGCTCACTTACTTGAGATAAAATCCCCATTCCTTGTAGATTAGCGCCTGTCTCCTCTCGCGCAGGTGGCACTGTAGGTTAAACCACAGCGCCTAGGGCTTGCCGATCAGAAGGTCGGCGGTTCGAATCCCCGCGACGGGGTGAGCTCCCGTTGCTCGGTCCCTGCTCCTGCCAACCTAGCAGTTTGAAAGCACAACAAAGTGCAAGTAGATAAATAGGTACCGCTCCGGCGGGAAGGTAAACGGCGTTTCCGTGCGCTGCTCTGGTTCGCCGGAAGCGGCTTAGTCATGCTGGCCACATGCTGTACGCTGGCTCCCTCGGCCAATAAAGCGAGATGAGCACCCTTTACCTTACCTCTCATGCAGATGCTCTTCTGGTCTACGCCTTGCCTGCTAGATCCTCGTGGCTTCCCTGAATCACTTCCTCAATGTTCTCCCTCTTCCTTCTTTCCACCCTGACCTCTTCCTTCTTCTCCTCAGGTACAAGCCCCACGTTAAGATGGAGCCCACGGCCTCAGCCGTCTTCTGCAGCCGGGTCCTTGGCATGGTCAACTCGGAGGATGTGAACGCCATCATCCTGGCTCAAAAGAACATGTGAGTGGCCCCCGATTTTATTTCGCGGCACTGGACTTACCCACCTTGGTAGCTTTTCTTTCTCTTCATAGAATCATGGAATTGTAGAGTTGGAAGGGGCTCCCAAAGGTCATCTAATCTAACCCCCTGGCATGCAGGGATCACAGAAGCCTGGACAGGAACCTCTATTTGAAAACCTCCAAGGAAGGAGAGTTCACCACCAACAAGGAAGTTTGTTCCTCACCCTCTTGAGCAGTAGAATAAAAGCTTGTTCCATCTTCCATGTGACAACCCTTCAGATATTTGAAGGTGGCTGCTGTATTTCCTCTCAGTCTCCTCTTTTCCAGGCTAAACATTCCCATTTCTTTCACTTTGTTCACCTTCTTTCTCCCTTTTTAAGCTAAAAACATGCTCTCCTTCAAAATTCCTGCTCTATATCTCCATCTTCTTGCCTTACCCTTCCATGGCTCTCAGCATTCACTGGAGAGGAGCACTGAACTTTGGAAGTCACTTCCAGAGAAGGTAGTGGTGGCCATCTATTTGGAAGGCCACGCGGAGGACCTTAAGGTCCATAAATAGCAACACCCTAGAGGTCCCTGGCCCCAAGGAAGTCAGATTAGCCTCAACCAGAGCCAGGGCCTTCTCAGTGATGGCTCCAGCCTGGTGGAATTCTCTGTCTCATGAGACCAGGGCCCTGCAGGATCTGATTTCTTCCCGCAGAGCCTGTAAGACAGACTTGTTCCGCTTGGCCTTTGGCTTGGAATCAACTTGATCCCCTCCCCCTCTTCCTTTTTCCTTTCTCCTTCTGTGATGGAACTCCTATTTGGGGACTTCCCTGGCCCACCCACATAGGACGTCTGGATAGTTGGTCTTGGTGAAGATTTGACGTTTTCGTCCCCAAAAAAGTTTTTGATTTGAGCTTCTACTGAAACGAGGCTGCATTTTAGTGTTGTATTTTGATCTTGTTTTTAAGTTGTATTTTAATCAATTGTTTTTATACCTGGTGTTAGCCACCCTGAGCCCAGTCTTGGCTGGGGAGGGCGGGTATAAATAAAAATTATTATTATTATTATTATTTATTGAGAGGACTGGTCCAAACTGAAGGAGGATAAGGCCAGCAGTGACTACTGGTCACTCTGGCTGTGCTCTCCCTCCAACATCGGAGACAGCAAATGCCCCTGGAATGCATTTGCTGGCAGTTGTAAGTGGGGAGAGTTGCTGTTGCCCTCGAGTCCTGATTGCAGGCTTCCCGTTGGGGACATCTGTTGACCACTGGGCTGGGCTCAGTGGGCCTCCTTTGGCCTGGCTCCCCTTACGTTCTTCGTGCTTTTTATTATTATTAAGTTATTCCGTTAATATTCTTTATGGAAAGAATTAGCAAATAAAATAAAATAGAAATAAATAAATTGCAATTATAAAGATACAAAGGAAAAAAGAGGGAAGCGAGGGGGGAAACAAAGATTCATATAATAAAGAAAGAAAATGCAAAGTAATGTACTCCCATACATAAATTGATATAGTGTTATCATCCTAATACCTATACAGTGGTACCTCAGGTTACATACGCTTCAGGTTACAGACTCCGCTAACCCAGAAATAGTACCTCGGGTTAAGAACTTTGCTTCAGGATGAGAACAGAAATTGTGCTCTGGCGGCAGCTGGAGGCCCCATTAGCTAAAGTGGTGCTTCAGGTTAAGAACAGTTTCAGGTTAAGAACGGAACTCCGGAACGAATTAAGTACTTAACCCGAGGTACCACTGTATAGATGTTAATAGCCTGCTACATTCTGTACAAACTCATTCCAAGTGTTGTCATATTGTCAATCCGTTGATTAAAGGTTATCATATCTTTATCCTTCCAGCTCATCAGTATCAGTCTCTTGGGCACCATTAGGGTGTGTAGAATCCCCTTTCCATACAATAGGTACATAATTCAAAAGAATATTCTCTGCTGAAAGATTTAACTTTTTCTGCAGTCAGTTATACGATCCAGCACTTTCTCCCAATACTTGATAAGTCTAGAACACTGCACGTTCTTCATTCTTGCCTGCAGCTCCCAAAACATTCCTTAATCCTGGTAATCTTAAACCTGCCTCTTGAGCCAACAGCTTGTCTTTGTTGCCCAGGCTGGACCGATTTGAGAAAACCAACGAGATGCTGCTCAACTTCAATAACCTGTCTGGTGTCCGCATGCAACAGATGAGCGAGCAGTTCCTGCACCACACCCGGACCTTAGTGGAGATGAAGAAAGATCTGGACAGCATCTTCCGGAGAATCAGGTGAGGCTGGCTGACCACTAGGGCATTCTTCCCATCTTGTCCATGGGGCAGGTAATGCTGTTGTTTAGAATCTGCGGCCTTCCAGATCTTACTAAACTACAACTCCCATCATTCCTTGCTATTGGCTACAGCACCAATGGGTGATTGGAGGTGTGGCTCAGTAACACCTGCAATTTTACAGGTTAGCCACCCTTGGTGTCAGACTGTAAGATGTGGGAGATCAGGGTTCAGATCCTGCCTCGGCCACAAGGCTCACTGGGCAGCCTGTTTTTCAGCTGAGCCTTCCTCACAGGTTTTTGGGGGATAAAACAGAGAGGGGGAAGGTCTGGAAATTATTCTCATACACAAACACACCCTTGTGTTTTCGGTTGCTCATTTTTTATTCTACTTTTGTGGCATTAATTATATGCTTTAGTTCAAAGAACCATACAATTGTGGAGTTGGAAGGTACCCAATCATCTAGTCCAACCCCAAACAATAGAGGAATCCTAGCTAAATAATACCTGACAGATTACCATGTTTGTGTCTCATACAGGACGCTGAAAGGGAAGCTCGCGAAACAGTATCCAGAGGCATTTAGTAGTGAGTATTATTATTAATTATCATTATATTTATATCCCACCTATTCCCCAGAGTGAGACAAGGCAGCTTACACCAGTGACACGAATGCAGAAGGTTAAAAAAGCATAGAAATTAAACTATAAACACTATAGAAACAGACTTTTTAAAATACATATTGTAAAAGTAGCACAGCACTTTTTAAAAGCCATTTCCTTAAAAAAAAACCAACCAGTAATATTTCCTAGGAAATACATTTCGCTCTCCAGGCTGTGTGAATGAGCAGTAAAACATCAAATGCAATGCTGTGTAAACAAGTGTAAGGTAGACATATAGAATCGTAGAGTTGGTAGGGACCCCCAGGGGTCATCTAGTCCAATGCAGGAATCTCAGCTCCAGGCCACCCAGCCTCTGCTTACAAAACCTCCAAGGAGAGTCCACAACCTGCTGAGGGAAACCATTCCACCGTCGAACAGTTCTTACTATCAGAAAGTTTTGTTCTGATGTTTAGTCAGAATCTCCTTTGTCGTAACTTGAAAGTCACGGGTTCGAGTCCTACCCTCCGGAGCAGGAGAAAACAAGCTTCCTCCATCTTCCATGTGACCACTGTCAGGTGCTGGGGTGGTTGCTCGAGAGCAAACGGGCAAGACTCCGACCTGTCTTTTTCAGGCTTTATTCTTAGTGCAAACTACCGTATTTTTCGCTCTATAACACGCACCCGACCATAACACGCACATAGTTTTTCGAGGAGGAAAATCCGTAGGCATGCCACCCGTAGGCATTCCCTCCATAACACGCACAGACATTTTCCCTTACTTTTTAGGAGGAAAAAAGTGAGTGTTATGGTGCAAAAAATACGGTATTTACAGTGAAGAGCACCGTAAGTTCATGTCTGGCTCAATCGCTAGCAGATTCTGGGAGTGGTTGGTCTTTGTACCTCCCCCAGCATAATATTCGTGTAACTCCCAACCTTCTCCCCTCCCTGCGCCGAAACCTACTGTGCAGCATGGGTGCTGGCAAAGGGGTACTTCCCTCGTCTCCACTTTGCTCAGGCTCGGTGTTGAGGCTCTCCCTAGCATCTCCTGGTCCCTGCACCTCCTCTCCACTGGAGGTGGGGCTTCCCTCCTCGCCGGAGGAGGAACTGCTTCGCAAGATTTTCAGAGGTTCCCTATAACACAACTGCCCTTCCATCTCTCGCCTCTGAGCTGATGGCAGTTCCCTGACAACCGCCCTTAAGATATTTGAAGATGGTTATCATATCTCTTCTCAGTCTCCTCTCTTCCAGGCTAAACATCCCTAGCTCCTTCAACCATTCCTCCTAAGACTTGGTTTCCAGACCCCTGATCATCTTGGTTGCCCTCTTCTGCACATCTTCCAGCTTGTCAATATCCTTGTTAAATTGTGGTGCCCAGAACTGGACACAGCCTGTTTTATTGTCTTTAGAACTCTTGTAAGCCTCTCCTAAAAGTTAACTTTGCACATGTTTCAAAACCCCCAAGCCCAGCGCCGATTCTTTTCCTGTGCACTCAAAACCCTTTTCACCTGCATTAACTGTAATAGTCTTCACAGTGGTCCCATAGCCTAGACCACCTTTATGCCTTCCACATGCCTAATGATTCGTTCCGTTGGCGAAGGCGGCATGTGCTTTCTAGCCACTCTCTCTTACCTGTCCCGTCTGTCGGTCTGCCTCATTACCGTTCTGATCTCCAGATATCCACGAATCTCCCATCCTAGAAGACGACGACTTCGACCCGATCCCCAAAAGCACCGCCACCACCATTGCTACCTCGGAGCAGAGCACGGAGTCCTGTGACACCAGCCCGGACATCATCTCCCCTGCCACCAGCCACGACTTTGAGGACCTTTCCCAGGGGCCGTACGACTCGCCGGCGGTGAATGGGCAGAGCATCACAGACGAAGACAACGAGACGGACTAGTCTCTGCAGTGAAGCTCTCGTGTGGGGCGAACCGATGCGCCGTCTTGTCCCCTGCTTGCTTCTGGACTTGCAAACTGGCGACCCCCTTCTTTTTTAAAAAAACAAAACAAACACCAACCAACCTGTATTTTCTGTGTTGTCTTGGCCAGCTGTTTCTTTGCGTCGGGGAGAGAGGGGCGAGCCTGGGCAAAAGTGGCTTTTCTTGCATGAACCGCCGTCTTCCCCCGCGGTGCTGATCTGTGATTTTTATGCCAAATATGCAAAACGGTGAGCAGCTAGTTCACATTTTTGTGGGGAGGTGGGGAACACACTGCACCGGGGTGTGTGTCTGCCCAATTGCACGATTGGGTGTGTTCACTGAGGGCTACCTCCAGCCTCCCCACCAACAGTATAACCATGCTTAAGACACAGATGAACTTGCATGTGCTCAAAAGATTGTTCTCTAACAGGGATGCTATCAGCCCCAAATGTGCAGATTTCGGGGAATTGGCCAACCGTGTGTCAGCTGTGCGTCCCCGCAACGGCTGCCAGCTGGTTCATTTGCTACCCTGTAAACAGAATAACATGCAAGAAGCACTCGGTTCTATCCAAACTTCTTCGGAGAACTGCTTGAAATGAATCAACATGAACGTGGGGCCATGAATTTCAAGGGGTCTGCCCCAAGAGGAGCTTTCTCCAATGCAGCCTTCTGCACTGGCTATATACCCTGAATCCACACAAGGACATTTTTTACAGTGGTGGTGGTAGCATTTCTCGTGAGAAGAAACAATTTGGAGTTCATCCCCGACTCCATTTTGCCGGGCACGAGTGTTGATAGCGGAGCTCAGTTCCTCCACCACTCGGGGCGCTCCCAGTTCCTTGAGCCGTGTTTTCCTGCCCGCACTCTGTTCATGCATGGGCCTGTTAGCTGCATTGTGCCCTGCTCCAAAGAAGTGCAGATCTGCTCCCCTCTCCTGGTTCTCTTGCTGACTCAGTGAGGGTTGGAGCACACAGCAGCCTCCATCGCAGCTTCCTCTTAACCCCCCTTTAAAAGTATGTCTCTTCCTGCGCTACTTTTCCCATCGTCCAATGATGCACCTTATATCTGACACAAGAGAGTGTATGTGCTTGCCTTGTTAGTGGCGAAGAAGAGCTGGAAATTTTTTTGCGCCTGGCAACCAAAGCGCCCCTTGGGTTTCAGATTTATAACTGCTATGGTGGCTCATTGACCAGAAGTAATGTCTTTAGCATTAACTCTAGAAGTGTAGGCTCGATTCTGACTCCTGTAGACTCCTGGAGCAAAATATACAACAGGACTCTTAGTTTGGTCAGAATTGAGCGTACACTTCCAGAGTTGACTCTGATTACATTTCTTCTGGTAAATGAGTCACCATAGGTGCTAGAGGGTATGGAAATTTGCGTCCAGGGGTTTTCAGACTTGTCTACCCATGTCCCATCCGAAGCGCGCTGGTTGCCAGGTACAAAATATATTGGCATTAGTTTCAGCTCTCCTAGCCTACTCTGTGCTGCCCATCTTAAGCAGAGGTTGCCCACTGCTTCCACCCCCTTCTTAACATCTGTTATAATCATCCTGTTAGGTACTTTTTCCTAGAGGTATCCAGTGTAAACAGTTAACGCCAGCACAACAGCTTTTACCCGTCCAGTGAAACTTCCCCAACTCCTCTATTTGCCTGCCCGCCCCCCAAATCGAGTGGGTTGGGGGAAACCCCAAAAACAAATTTAGAAGAGGGCAGAAAAGTTAAAAGCTGTTGAGCTACCCTAAGTGTTCAGTTGCATCCCAATACTGGGTTGTGCTCAATATTCGACCTACTCAGCACTGACCCACTGAAATCAGTAGTCACATCCATTGATTTCAGTGGGTCTACTCCTGAGTAGAATTTTGTTGGGTTTAACCCCTGATCCCTGCCCCCCCCTTCCATGACACCTTCAGTTACTGTTTTACTGACAAGTGTCTGTGTCTCTAGTGTTCAGTTTTAAGCGCCCATCCACACAACGGTCTGTATTATGGTTCCCTTCGCCGGAACTTGGGTAATGGCTAGATTTGTTGAGTAAAGGTTTGGGCAAGCTGCTTCCTTTCTCCACCGTAAATAATAATAAAAATTCCTGAAATGCATTGTAATTCAAAGAATAATATTTTTGTACTGCTACAAGTTTACAGAGATTAATGAGGTAATAACCAATAAAAGAGTTGCATTAATTGATAGATCTGGTGTTTGTGAGCTGTTATTTGTTGGTTTTATTGATTGGCTTTCATGGGGCACGGAAGCTTTTTTCAGCCAGGGAGGTCATTTTGGTGCTACTCACGCAGCGATTTGACTTTGCCCCCAGAGGCACACTCCATTGCCTCTTGGGACAGACAACTACAAGATCGCCACAATAATACGGTTTTAGCACAGGGATGAAGGATTTGTGACCCCCTGGCTGTGCTGGCTGTTGCTTGTGGGAATTTGATTTCCAACAATATTTGGAATGGGCTGCAAGTTCCCCATCCCTGGTCTGAGAAGAGAGAGGCATTCCCTCCTGAGAAAACAGAGGCATTCCTTCGATGATATCTGGAGGAATAGCGGCTTTCACCATTCCTCATCTCGAATAGAGGCATCCCTCAATCTCTCACAGGGAATCCTTAGAGCAAGGATGGGAGACGTGTGGTCTTTCAGATGATACCGGGCTTCCAGAAATCATCGTATCTGACCACTGACCATGCTGGCTGCTGGAGCTGAGCTGGGAGTCAGCCAACATCTTCCCAACCCGCCTTTTAGGAGATTAATGGCATCCTTCCGAAACTAGAACAAGCTTGTGGGAAGTGCCACTTGATGCTTCAAAAACAATTAGTACGCATATTCATATGCTTAATACAAAATACAACGATACTGCCATAATCAAAACGATGATAGCATTTTTATTAATAACAACTCAGCCAGAATAATGTGGGAGGTCTGTTCAAATTTTATGATTTTTGTGAAGGCGCCTGCTGGATCTCAAGAGGCAGGGAGTTCCAGAGACCCACCCAGATCCATTGGGCCGGGGCTCTCCAGCTGCTTCCAGACCACAACTCCCATCACCCCTTGGCAGCTAGAATGAGGGGAGTTGTAGTCCCCCCAAAAAAGAGCTTGGGGCGCAAGGTTGGGAAACGCTGTACAGCTCCCATTCCTGACCATTGGGGGCTGAGGGCTTCTGGGAACTGTAGTCCTAAAGGCAAACTCTATGGTTCTCCGCCTCTATTTGTTTTGTTCGTCACTTCCGGCAATCAAGGGGCGGCGCCTGGAGCCGGAGGAGGCGTGGCTTTAGTAGGCGAAGATTCCCTCGCGCTCCCTCCTGCGGCCGCGCATGCGCGCAGGGAGGAGGCGTGACGGCCCAAGATGGCGGCTGCCGGCGGCCCCGTGGAGGTGGCGCTGGTGTCGGCGGCCGAGGCGGCCTCGTCGTCCGGAGGCGGCTGCTCGGTGTGGGAAGTGGGCTCCGGGGCGTCGGTGGCCGGATACCGCGGGTTCAGCTGCGCGGCTCGAGGGATGGCGCTGCTGGGCGGGGAGCACCTGCTCGGGGCGCAGCTGGGCAAGGCCTGTGTGGGCGCCTGGGAGCTCCAGAGGAAGGTAGGACCACGGGGGGGGGAGGGGGCTGCGCGTGCGTGCGCATCCTGAAGAAGCCCCGCCCCTGGGAGTGACCCCCTCCATGGGGTTCCCATGAAACCCCAACTCTAGACATGAAACCCCCCCACCAGATTCCCTCTAGACCAGGCATGTCCAAAGTCTGTTTCGGGGGCCTAATCCCCCCCCCCCCACGTAGCAGTACAGTGGTACTCGAGTTACAGACGCTTCAGGTTGCATACGCTTCAGGTTACAGACGCCGCTAACCCAGAAATAGTGCTTCAGGTTAAGAACTTGCTTCAGGATGAGAACAGAAATCGTGCTCCGGCGGCACGGGCAGCAGCAGAAGGAGGCCCCCATTAGTTAAAGTGGTGCTTCAGGTTAAGAACAGTTTCAGGTTAAGTACGGATCTCCGGAACGAATTAAGTACTTAACCCGAGGTACCACTGTATATGTCCTAAAGTAAGCTCATCAGCTTCAATCCTAAAGAAAGTCCAACAACTTTGGGGTAAAATTGTAAAAAAAAATCTCAACAACTATGGTCGGCCCCCCACGCATGTTCACATCATCAAAACTGGCCCTCTCTGAAAAAAGTCATGGGCACCCCTGCTCTAGACTGAGTCTTGTTTTCCAAAGGATGGGACTGACTGTGATGGATTCTCAGTTAAACATCTGGCTAGTTCAGAGGACAACCTTGAGCTTGGTTAAGAGCTTTGAGAACATAAAATAAGGAAAGTCACTTGACCCAGGGTCAATCTATGTATATTTTGACTTATTCTGACCTCTTTTTCTTCATAGTGACATGGACCATTCATAACGTAGGAATATCTTCTCAACTGAGCAGGGCAGTGGGGGAAGCAAAGACAAGTGACAACCATTCACTATAACGATGTTCACTGCTACTGCTCAGGCGGCACTGACAAACATTTTGATTCCTGAAATTCACCCTTATTGTGCAGATAAAATATAACGGATAGAATTTGACAGGATGGGGTATTAGTGTGTGAAAAACATGCAACGATCCCCTGATGGAGGAGATGTCCAGCACCATCATGGCCCCCAGACATCTTCAAGCCAGCTGCTTTTCGGACCTCCAGCTCTCACCTGCTCCAGTATCCAGCATGGCCCATGTTCAGGGATGCTGGGAGTTGTACTTCAATACATTCTGGCTGGGGAGACAAGGCTCTCCTCCACAACAGCCTGAAAAGCTGTGGGAGACCAGCACCCTTCAAAACATCACCCCCTCCTCATAATAAATAGACAGGAGAGAAACTTTTGATAATGATACAGTTTATCTTGGGCTTTGCATGCATTGCATTATAAGGCTTACAACAGCCCTGCAAGGTAGCCCTGTACTGTTAACCCAGCATTGCAGATAGAATCATAGAATCATAGAATCATAGAATCATAGAGTTGGAAGAGACCACAAGGGCCATCGAGTCCAACCCCCTGCCAAGCAGGAAACACCATCAGAGCACTCCTGACATATGGTTGTCAAGCCTCTGCTTAAAGACCTCCAAAGAAGGAGACTCCACCACACTCCTTGGCAGCAAATTCCACTGTCGAACAGCTCTTACTGTCAGGAAGTTCTTCCTAATGTTTAGGTGGAATCTTCTTTCTTGTAGTTTGGATCCATTGCTCCGTGTCCGCTTCTCTGGAGCAGCAGAAAACAACCTTTCTCCCTCCTCTATGTGACATCCTTTTATATATTTGAACATGGCTATCATATCACCCCTTAACCTCCTCTTCTCCAGGCTAAACATGCCCAGCTCCCTTAGCCGTTCCTCATAAGGCATCATTTCCAGGCCTTTGACCATTTTGGTTGCCCTCCTCTGGACACGTTCCAGTTTGTCAGTGTCCTTCTTGAATTGTGGTGCCCAGAACTGGACACAGTACTCCAGGTGAGGTCTGACCAGAGCAGAATACAGTGGCACTATTACTTCCCTTGATCTAGATGCTATACTCCTATTGATGCAGCCCAGAATTGCATTGGCTTTTTTAGCTGCCGCGTCACACTGTTGGCTCATGTCAAGTTTGTGGTCAACCAAGACTCCTAGATCCTTTTCACATGTACTGCTCTCAAGCCAGGTGTCCCCCATTTTGTATTTGTGCCTCTCATTTTTTTTGCCCAAGTGCAATACTTTACATTTCTCCCTGTTAAAATTCATCTTGTTTGTTTTTGCCCAGTTCTCTAAACTGTCAAGGTCGTTTAGAAGTGTGATCCTGTCCTCTGGGGTGTTAGCCACCCCTCCCAGTTTGGTGTCATCTGCAAATTTGATCAGGATGCCCTTGAGTCCATCATCCAAGTCGTTGATAAAGATGTCGAATAAGACCGGGCCCAAGACAGAACCCTGTGGCACCCCACTAGTTACTCTTCTCCAGGATGAAGAGGAACCATTGATGAGCACCCTTTGGGTTCTGTCAGTCAGCCAGTTACAAATCCACTGAGTGGTAGCATAGTCAAGACCGCATTTTACCAGCTTCTTTACAAGAATATCATGGGGCACTTGTCAAATGCCTTGCTGAAATCAAGGTAGGCTACATCCACTGCGTTCCCTTCATCTACCAGGCTTGTAATTCTGTCAAAAAACGAGATCACGGTTAGTCTGACATGACTTATTTTTCAGAAATCCATGCTGACTATTGGTGATCACAGCATTCCTTTCTAGGTGCTCACAGACTGTTTGCTTAATGATCTGCTCCAGAATCTTCCCTGGTATTGATGTCAGACTGACTGGGCGGTAATTATTTGGGTCCCTCTTTTCCCCTTTTTGAAAATAGGGACAACATTTGCCCTCCTCCAATCTGCGGGACTTCGCCTGTTCTCCAGGAATTCTCAAAGATGACTGCCAGTGGTTCTGAGATCACATCTGCCAGTTTCTTTTTAATACTCTTGGATGCAGTTCATCTGGCCCTGGAGACTTGAATACATCTAAACTAGCCAAGTATTCTTGTACTATCTCCTTAGTTATTCTGGGCTGTGTTTCTCCTTTG